AAATTGTCAATTGCTCCGCCAGAAGTCGTATTGGGCATGCGCAATGATGTGGGGTAATTTGATCGAAATTTTTATGGTAAGTTCATCTAATTAAATTGTGCAAAAATATATATTGCGCCGAACATAGATTACACCTCCAAAAATTAATACACAAACGTATAATATCCCATTTTCGGCGATATTTGTGCAAAATATACTCACTCTAGCGCAGTCTTAAAATGCGAAGCATTTTTACCAACCTATGTAATGAGATTGACCATTGACATATCGATGCTTTTTTGAACCGAATCAAATTTCTTTTCCCGTTTTAGAAAATTGTAACAACCATTAAGCAAAAAAAATAACAAAAAAAAATAAAAAATAAAAAAAAAAATTAAAAAAAATTGACAAACGGTAAACCACATAAAGAAACAAAAAAATAATAAAATAATTTTAAAAAAATATAAAAAAATTTAAAAAAAAATTTAAAAAAAATTCCATACGGTAAACAACAAAAAAAGGCGTACGTTAATTAAACGGCGCCGATAGGTCCGTAAGGACCTATCTAGTTGTAAAATAAAGAAATTAGCATTGAAATCCCTATGATGCGTAAACCGTTTCTAAACCCTGTATATAGAATTTTAGGTACAATCTACCTAAAAATGAAATAAATGTGTAAACAAAAATATAGCAAACGAGCCCCTGGGTATGGCTATTGGCTACAGCATGCGCAAAACCAAATTTTGAACCTGGTATTAGATTTGCTTTTATGCGAAGTGCCTATGTATCAAAATTTAATTTAAATGCCTTCATAAATTAAAAAAAGGATGCAATTCCGTTTATAAATGGCAGAGATGGAAAATTACCTTAGACCAGTTTCGAGCATTCTGCCGGCTACTCCGAATTAGGTTTTCCTGCAGTTTTCCTATTCGTAAGGTAAATACCGGAGTAGTATAGAACAACTTAAGACCTTCTGCAGAGGCACCTCTAAAAAGCAGTATGCGGGTCACTCTGTAATTGGGCGCAAGCCTGTTGAGGGCCCAGAACAAGGAAGGGATAATAAATAAATAAAGATGCGAATGAATCGGTTAGACTCAACTTTTGGTATTACGCAGTATACGGCTAATGCTAAGCCCATATTGAATTTCATGAAATTGGGTTCATAACTAACGGAAATGTCAAAAGGACCTTGGCCTACCTGCATGCTTTAGTTATTACTGAAGACCCTTCTCCCAATGTCTTGGAAGAGTATGAAAGCTATGTCGTGGTGGATGATGATGAACAGATTGGTGCCGGATTTAGTTCATGGGCCGCCGGGGGCTAAGTCATACTATACTGCCAGTAGGTAGGAAAAAAAGCTGAATATTGGTTTTTTTTGTAATATTTCATTTAATTTTTGTTGTTTTTCTAACTTTTATCGTTTCCAAAATGCACCTTTTTCTTGTCCGCTCATTTCTTAGAAGCTTCACGAAAACACTCCACTAATAAGTGAGTAAAATTTTCTGCGCTAACGCATAATGACGTAACGGGATTGACGACACAGCATGTCAGAGTCCCCAAGAGGTCATTGGATTTAACCCATTTTCAATAGGTTATTACTTGTGGTATATAGGTCAACTGTGCAAAGTTTGAACGAAATCGATCCAAGCGTTTGACAGTTATCGTGTTCACGGACACCATCGACTCCCCTTGCATCATCGCTTTTCTCTGCCGCTTAATAAATCCCTAAAGTGATTTCCCGAAAAAATGAATTGTTTTTGGTAGGATTTTTGTGCGGCAGCGACCTGCACTATGGTCGACAGCCCGAACCCAGCATCGATCTTATAGCTGAAGAGACCAAGTTTTATTACCATGCCATTTCAGAAACTGAACTCCATAAGTTCTATCGATATTTAGAATTAAAACGTGATGATGGGAGCGACGGACGTGCCGCCTCTCAAAATTTACCACTGGGGGCTAATAGTCCCATGGCTCCCCCCCCCCCTAAATCCGGCACTGACAGATTCGGATGCGGTCGAGCTAAAATCATATGAATTTCAATTATCGGCCTTTGAGCCTAAACTAAACCAATGAATTTGGCATTCGGAAGTTAGACGAGCTTATAAAAAAGTTTAAAGCAGTGGCAAGGCGACTGTTAGTGTCCATATTTTAACCAGTTGGTTTTTTGGAAGATCATCATTTGCCCAGTGAAAATTTAGCGTGGTCATAGGGTCCAAATTTCATTGTTGGAGCATTATAAACATTTGCTGTGGTTAGCACAGGTACCATCCGCACACCTGCTCTTTCATGTCTAAGAATATGTGTACCAAATTTGGTCCCAATCGGTTCAGCTGGTTAGCCGGAAATGAGAGTACAGACGGACCGACAGACAGACCGTCAGACTGACACACCGACATCATCAAAATTTTGTTTGATTCGGATTCCTGGTACTTCAAAACTTGTATTTCCGTCAAAAAAGTGGGAGAGGGGGCATTTTGTTACCCCAATTCAACACCTCCCTTACTAACGTGCGGGTGGTAAAAAGTGAATATTAGTTCCGCGGCAATTAGTAAATTGCGTGCATAAATCGTGACCAGATCACAAGGAATTCAGTGGTATAAGGGATATTTACGCATTCCAGTGCGGGAGTTGAGAACTCGTAATCGTGTCGAGTTCAGTTCGAAAAGAATACAGCCCGCCCTTGTAAATCAACGCGTTCATCCAACACATTCCTGAGAAAACTTGACCGCGTATAGACGGCGTACAATAAAGTACAAGGGAATTTGATTTAATTCATGTCCAACCCGAAATTACAACAAAGAAAACTGTTAGTAAATCCAGATAATATTCAAGTTCATTATTCGTGCCGCTAAGGAAAAGGTAATCAGTACAAAAGATTTCCTACACTTCAACTCGTTCAATTACAAACCCTTAAAATTGAGTGTGTATGCTTATTCAGCCACCAAAATTGTACTGGCCAACAGGAGAGTTAGCATCCGGAAACAACCTGTATTTCACCATCGATCCAATCCAAAGCGTCATTGTTTAGTATTTCAAGTTGGCGGGTTTCTAAATTTGTATCCCAGGTGAAAACACCTACTAACTACCCTCTCTTGAGGATTCAACAAGATTAGTTGTAAGTATTCCAGCAGAGTTGGACTGGGTCACTGGGTCACTGGGTCAACTGGGTCACCTGGGTCACTAAATTAAACTGGGTCACTGGGTCGCTGGGTCACGTCATACTCTTTTCAGTTAGACCCAGTGACCCAGTTGACCCAGTGACCCAGTGACCCAACTTGACCCAGTTTGACCCAGTTTGACCCAGTGACCCAGTTTTGACCCAGTGACCCAGTTTGACCCAGCGACGCAATTTCACCCGGGGACCCAATTCGACCCAGTCACCTAGTTTGATTGAATAACGCAGTTAAGTCAGTGCCCTCGGTTCAAGTGTACAGATTATGCAATAAATGAAATGCTGGTTTGTTGAAAATAATACTCGATTGCTTGACAACTGCCATTTCTGTGATGTTTGCTTTAATACTGCCGTAAAAAACTTTCCATGTCCCGAATTGTATTAGAATAAGTTATTTCTTTGCTTCAGGGCTTTCCAGTTTGCTTACAGGTGTTCATTCACATTTAATTTTTTTCTACTAGTTAGCTTAATCCAAATAAATCTTTTCTCTAAATACTTTCATTGACTACTTGACTACAAACTATAAACAAATGCATTTGATTTTTTTAGGTATTAGTTCTCTTGAATGAAATTGGGCTACGTGCTTGTTGCCGAATATTATTGAGGAAGTTTTTTTTAAATTAAAAGTTACTTGAAATTGTTTTGGATGATAACTAACAATAATTTAATTACTGGGCTACCGGGTCAGGACGGGTCACTGAGTAAAGCTGGGTCAGGATGGGTCACTGGGTCAAGCTGGGTCACCGGGTCAAGCTGGGTCACCGGGTCAAACTGGGTCAAGCTGGGTCACCGGGTCAAGCTGGGTCACTGGGTCAAGCTGGGTCAAGCTGGGTCACCGGGTCAAACTGGGTCAAGCTGGGTCACTGGGTCAAACTGGGTCAAGCAGGGTCACCGGGTCAAGCTCGGTCACCGGGTCAAACTGGGTCACCGGGTCAACTGGGTCACCGGGTCACTGGGTCACCGGGTCACTGGGTCAGTAAACTAACTGGGTCACCGGGTCACTGGGTCACTCTATGCTTGACCCAGTCCAACTCTGTATTCCATACCTTCTACATAAGGAGGTTAGTTGTATTTTTGTAATATTTTGTCAATTTCAATCGGAAGTTTTAGGATCCGTTGTAAAGTGGTCGAGAATAATGTAAAATATTGTCTTTTCTATGTGTATTGTTATCAAACGGACCTCCTGAATTTGTTGTCCATTCTTTTCTCTTTCGGAATCAAAACGGATTCCATTAAATTTTACTGCGAATGAAACCAAATTCAGAGGTCATCTGTAATTTAGTCGCTCAACCTAAAACAACAAAAACTAAGTTGCGTTCGAAGTGTAAAGGTGTTTCTGTAAAATATTAGCCATTCAATTTCAAATCATTGATCTGTTTATAGCTAGATGGCCACCTCGAAGTAGATTTTAACTATTCCAAAATCGTGACCGGTAGACGTTTAGTAAATAGAATATTAGATAGGAAGTTCAATGTAAGGAGATGCATCTTAACCCCCTTAATATTTTTCTGATTTTTAGTCAATATAATTATTGCCACTGCTGCGGTGTTATTATTTTTCTGGACAGTACAAAGTCAAAGAACCCTGTTTGTACCAAGATTTTCAGATAAAGGATAAGAGATTGTGTAAACCAGGAGGGTAAAGACGTAACGACAACCGCAAAAGCTAGTCGGCGGCACAAGCATATTTATCCATTAAGTAGAAATTTTAAAGCCGAATTTCGTCGACGAATTACCAAATCGCAATATAGTTGTACGAATTAAAGAAGATCAGCGTAGTGATCAAAGTGCGTGAGGATATACTGACGTGGTCTTGAAACGTAAGGAGCGAATAAATTTATTTTGAATTCGTATAGCATTGTATAGCATGGTATGCGGTTAAATTATTGTGCATAACGCAAAACGTGGCAATGACGGCATACTTGCGTGTACGTTCGAAAATCGATAGTTAAATCCAAAGATCACACTTTGCTCAATCGAACTTGTTCTGTGTTGAATAGGTCTTTCTAAAGGCCATACCAATATACATAACCAGAGGATGTTAAACGTAAACTGTTTATGGTACAAAAGGTTGTATTGAAACGTTCCAGGTAAACTTTTTCATTTTATTTTCAACACTTATTTTAGGGCTTGATTTTAGAGAAAGCAAATCTATCGTGTTTATTACACATTCATATGTGTTCGAAAATGTTCAAAACAGATGTTGAAAATAAATTACCTAAACCCAAATTGAACGGTACAAAGAACTGCTTAAAAAATTAAACATTAAATCATAATGACAATACTGAGAACGATGGCACCTTCAATAGCATGACAAGCAGGGCAAATTAAATAAAAAAATAAGTAGCTACTTTTCGTTTTTGGGAAAGTACTATAAAATGTAAATATTTGTAAGTGCCCTAACAACCAATAGTCGTGAGAGTGAGTTCGCTGGGAATGTTTTATGGATCAAAAGTGTAAAAAATTTGCATACTAGTTTATCGAAGCGTAACTGAAATTTAAATGAGCAGTATAAAAGTGCGAAAAGTTGACTTTATCGTTCTCTTTCTTCAATATGACACCATCAAAGATTAGGTGTTTAAGAAGTTTGTTACCCTTGACAGCGAAAGCGGGAGTAAGAAGTTTATGTAATAAAATAATTTGTTCCAAAGCAACTAATGCAGACGTCCAGAAATTGGCACTCAGCGATTACGTTTGGAAAGACTTGGATAAATGGTCGGACAAGACTGCATTGGTACGAAAAGAACCTTATTCGAATTACCTGAGTTAAAATAAACCAATTTTTAAGGAATGCGCAGAAACTGGACGAAACTATTCGTACGAAGACGTTTACAAGAAATCGAACAAAGTAGCGAACTTTTTGGCAAATTTGAAAGGACTAAACAAGGAAGATGTAATCGCAACGATTCTTCCTAATGTTCCCGAATACGCGATTATTGTACTTGGTGCAGCACAAGCGGGGTTGAAAATAACTCCCCTAAATCCCGAATATACAAAAGGTAAGTTGGAGACTGCTTTGAACAAAATAACTCACCTGTTCTCGAAATCCAGAAGAAATAAATCACTGCCTCGCGATTTCAAAACCGAGGATAATTTTTACGTTAACAGACTTATGGCCGAACGTGTCCAGCGCTGTCAGTGCATTTCCCAAAGTACCAATTGTTGTTATGAATCACCGAAATGTATGTGACACTATGAAAAGTTACATCTTCGTAAAAATATTTTTAGGAGGTAATGGATATTCCTTCCGGGGCTATTAAACTAAGTGAAGTTCTTCAAAACACATATCCAGCAAAAAGGCAAACACACGGCTGGAATGATGTAATTTATCTACCATATTCCAGTGGAACAACTGGATTATTTAAGTGCATAGAATTAACCAATGAAAATATGGTTTCAAGTATACACCATCATACTGTTCCAGAATTTAAAATGCAAACACCTACCAATGGTATGTTTAACGTTCATCTGCTAAAGTTTTCTTATGCAAATTTGTACAGCGACCAACCAAGACGTTTTCCCTGCAATCCTACCGATGTACCACATTTATGGCATTCACACCATTCTTCTAAACATGTCATTGGGATGCAAAGCAATTACAGTGCCCAAGTTTACAACGAAAACGTTTATAGGCATTTTAGAAAACACCAGACCGACACACTGCTATCTGGTGCCTCCTTTAGGTTAGGGTTTTCTTACGCCCTCATTCCCATTACTCCCATCTTACACTTTCAGTACAACTGTTGGTAAAGGAACCACGTATAAAACCTGAATACTTAACACGAATGAGGTCAATTCAAGTAGGTGCCGCTCCATTGGGCATTAACGACGTACGAAGTTTGAACGAAAAAACCAAAGGTAAAGTTCACATCCTTCAAGGGTACGGCTTGACGGAGACAACAGGCGCAACACATTGGCAAACACCACACATCGCAGGCGGTGTGAAAATGGGAGGTTGTGGCCTAAGCTACCCCACCATGGAGTGCAAAATTAAAAACGAGCAAGGCGAAATGCTTGGTAGTAATGAAAAGGGTACCGTTTTTCTTCGTGGTTCGCAGGTCTTTAAAGGTTACCTTAATAATCCCGAAGCCACCCAGTCGGCATTAAGCTCAGCAGGCTGGCTAAATACGGGCGATATAGGCTATCACGACGAAGATGGCCATTTATTCATTACTGATAGATCAAAGGAGATGATAAAGGTAAGCACGTTGGGCTGCACTTCATTATAGATACTTGGGTTTAGGTTAAAGGGCTTCAAGTGGCCCCGGCCGAGATCGAAGACATATTGCGAAGTCATCCCGATGTTGATGAGGCTGCAGTTGTAGGGTTACCGCATGACCGGTTTGGGGAAGTTCCAATAGCGTTCATTGTGACTAGGTCTACGAAACGCATCGATCTAAAAAGTATTGACGAGTTCGTCGCCAGTAAAGTTGCGAAGCATAAACGCTTACTAGGAGGCATTGTCGTCACTGACTATATACCAAAGACCGCTTCTGGGAAAATTTTGCGAAGATATCTCAAGCGATTACCTTCGGAAAGAAAATATGAAACGATCTGAAGACCATTGGCTTCCAAAACTTCGAGACCAATCGATCATTCGCCAAATACTTCGATGAAATTTAAACAATCTGGTAAATGAGCAATGCTAAGCAATCAAAGCATCTAAGAGATATTTTTCAATTGATGTAATTTACATCTTTTTTTAACAAATTATAATTATAAGTAAAATATTAAATTTTTTTTATTTCCAAAAAATATGTGCTATGCCTAGTGAATTTAACGTTACACACGTTTCATTATGACGTTCATAAACGAACTCGTATCATTAATAACTATTAAATCATTCGTTAAATAAGTAAATGTATCTGTAATTGATCTTAACATTTAAATTAATTAAGAGCGCTTTTTTTGAGACCACTCATCTCATTTAATGAGCTACCGCTAATTACACTTACTTAATTTGCCGGATAATATTTCTAAATTCATAATTCTAATTAACACCTATCGTCTCTCAGGTCGGATGAAGGTCTTGTATCAAACTGGTACCGGCGTACACCTGCATGGCCTTCCAAGTTTAATGCTCGTTTTAAATTAAAAATTAACCTATAAACCTAAAATCATGATAATTACTGAACGGAGCTGAAATTCTAAAATATTAATTCCTCGTCGTCTTCGCTAATTGAAATATCTTGACCGGAACGGTTGCAAACGGTGAATTAATTACAGCTTTTGTTTACGCGGTAACGACGACTGTAGAAATTAAATCAATTACCTTTACCGTCTCTTTTCAACTAGAACCAGCATAAATACTTTCGGCACGACACTTTTCGTAACGAAGTGTCCGACTTAAAATGCTTCTAGATACCGAGTGTTCGTCTACAGAGTGATCACTAAAACTGGTAACTTCAAGTCGGAAAACGGATGCTTCGTTACAAAATTGTCGGTACCTGTTTGTCGATTTCTAAGTGTTTAAAACTATACGTAATAAAAACCGCTAGAAAAAGTATTACATAAGAAAATATTCAGATTTAATTCTTCACGGAAGGAAACGTCCTGAACGATGTGTATGTTGATTGAAAGAAAGTCAATGGAAAAACGATGCTGCATGGAAGTCGCTAGAAAAGCGAGACTCTTTACAATGCAGCAAGTGATCCTGACAATTGGATATTGTAGAAACGGAGAATTTGATGTTGCAGCTTTATCATGAAAGAAAAGGGACGCCAAGACAAAAGGCACGTGTGAGAGATGCCTCAGAGAGAATTGGATATCACCTTGAAGTTGGGAGTAACTCATGAGGTCGCTGCTCGGTATTTTAAAACAGCGCATCGTTTAGCTTTTGGCACTAGAGCAAACGCAACAGGACCTAGAGAACCTTTTGTAGGTAGATTTCTTTCTGCCATTTTGTTCCAATATGGCGGGAAGATGTCTGGATCCGACACTTGAATACACCGTCGTATAAAAAGTTACCAATTAAGGCAGGCCGCAGTTGTTAAATTGAAAATTGTATGTCTTTCCCCAGATACCTTCCCACCCAGTTGTATTGCATTCCAATGTTATCACTGGGCTGGTCCTTCGCGAGTTAAGGAACACATGTTCATTTTACGGAGATGGATTTCATAATATTCCTTTCTCATTCCGACCTTTATTTCAATAAATACGTATTACCGCAGATCTACCATCTTTGCGTGCTAAAAATAATTCCATCAAAATTCAGAAGTTTTAAATATTTAATTTAAATTACCTACGTATGTATATACCCAACTAGCAAAATTTATTTTATAAAGGTTATGAGAAATGCTATACAGCATATCTTATAGAAAGCCGAAAATTGTATACGGCGGGTAAATAATACTATACAACGGTTACACAACCAAAAAGGGCCCTAGTTTATAAAACAGTTTAGTAATTTAGGGAGTTCTTCTAGTAAACTACAAAACTCTTACACAATAGCCTTATGTAATGTTTATAAAATTGTCGTATAAGTATATCTTCAAGAATACTTATACAACATATTACATGAGTACCTACTATGGGACTGCTATAAAAAGGCATTGTATAAGTAGTGTTTCTATACTGCGGTTTAAGTGTATTTTACGAACATTAAAAAGGATTTTATAAGTTTGTTATAACGCAGACGGCATCGCTTATGCAATCAATTAGTATTGTACTGTTGAAATTTGAAATAGGTATAAATAAATAATAATGGAAATTTCTTATGTTCGTGTTAGTTAACGGTACAAACAAAATATAAGTGACTCCATTATTTTCGAGTTCCGCCATGCGTTAGAGTGATTAAGTGCAGCATCATTTGAAAATATTCATTTCTGATATACGTCAATTAAGACAAAATATTCTAGCGCAGCAAATTTTTCTGACAATATACGTATATATTATTGATGAAAAATTAATGCGCCTCAGTTTAGTAGACTATTATGTGAATCATGAATACACGAAAAAAAAAATGTTTCCCTTTTAAATGTATTTTCAATTTAAACAAAAAATGTGTTCGTTTCATTTGTGAAATTCTACGTCTATATTTCTATTAAATGCATTCTTTATTGCTATTTTTACGTTTTCATGCGAATTTTGCATAATGGCGGCGATATATGAACGGTGATTTGCTTAATAAATATGGCGCGATTGTAATACAATGACTTTGTCTAATTAGAAACGTTATACAATGATTCTGCTTTGTTCCGAGCAGTATACAATATTCAAGTCCTATAATGTTGAGTTACAACGACGCCATAGAATGGTTTTTAAAATCGGACAAGAAGCTGATCGTTGATAAATTCTGGAAGTTGCCAGATTCATACTATGTTCCGATATCATTTTAATTTTACATGCATAAACCAGTTGAGATGTATCTGAAACCGCTAATTAAGCAAAAATATTGAAATATATCATAGTTAAAGCACAGTCTAGATACAAGACTGTAGTTAAAGCTTCTAAAGAGAATTGTTCACAATACATAATAAATTGCTTTGTATTAATTTTTTGTATGATGGCAACTATGTGTATTCAATGGCCATATTACATTAAAGCGCGTTGGAAAACTCTTTAATAGAACAGATGTATCGCTTAGCGTATGTGTTGTGCTGCACTAAACAACTATTCAGTTATATTATGTTTCAATTATCTGCAGTATAAAATTCCATCCATGTGATTGGCCAAAATTCGCACTTTGAACTTTTATATATGGGAAGCCCGTCAATGTTCACTTTTAGGGAAATGGATTCTATATGAGAATAGTTTTCCAAACAAATTATTAAATTTGGCGTAAGACCATTGTGCCAGTAAGTTTCATTTTCAAGTGTTACCAGATTATCTACTTTTATGGGAGTATTTAGAAATGTCCTTGGATCCTTAGGAAGAAGGTTAGGAATAGCTTGGTTCCATATTTTAAAAAGCTCTCTTAATGCAGAATGAGTAATGTTGAAAGACGTTGCCCATATTTTAAGTTTTTCCTTTATTTTAATCTTCTTGTCAATTTCAGAAAGCGAAGGTAAGAAATTTTCCTCATCGGTATCCATCATGTATTCATTGATTTCGTTAGCACTATTAAGGTCGCATTCCTTTTCTGTACCTTGTTGGATTTCAGTTTGCGATTCAATATTACTGCAGGAGGAAGTTGTAGGTACTACCGATAAACCTTCTACTTCTAAGTTAGCCTCGGAAAGGTAACTGCAATGCTGTAGAATTCTGTGGTATTTCTTTTTGGCTAATCTTTTAAAGTGCCCACTCTTTTTAATTTTTTTCCACTTAGACACAGCCGATTCCATTTTCTAAAAGTTACTAAGATAATAGTTCCATAGAAATGTTGTGTTATATGGCAGAGTTTTCGATAACTACATTTTCATTGTAGAAGTTCTGCATAAGGGAGTAAACTGTTGTAGTTATATGCTAACTATGAAATAGTTTTGTGTATATTGTATAATGTTTTTCAGTCTACAGTTGTATTATTTAGCATAAAGACCTTCAATATAACTTCTTATACAACTTCTATTACATTACAACTATATTATAACGCAGAAATGAAAAGTATTAGAATAGCTATACAACTGCATTATAATGTTTATACAATTCTTTTAAAATGTAGTTATTGTTAATTATAGGGCGACAATTATAAATAAGGATGACACAGGATTTACTTAAGTAAGTATATTGTAAGTGACGGCTTGCTTACATGTCATGACAATTGTATGTGTAGGTCATTAGTCAACTAGCGCTAACTAATGTATCGTCAATTGTGGCTACAGCCACGTCTAATACTAATTCCGTAACATCTCCCTTTGGAAGTTACAAGTCTAATTTATTAGGTACCTTAATTTGTCTGCCTGAGCGAGTAGTTACATTAAGGTTCGGAGTCGAACCATTGTCATTAGCAGGTTCATTATTAACATTATCAAAATTACTATAAATACAGTAATTATTACAATCATTGCAATTATTATCTATATTATAATCGGTATTAAGATCTAAATGTGTGTTATTCGATTTACCATATTCTGGATTACAATTGGATTTGTAAAATTTCTTTATGTGAACCCTATTTCGTCTATAATGCATCCCATCCCTAGATTGAATGATGTAGCTTTTTGGCTCAGGACCAACCTGCGTTATTTTTCCTTGTATCCATTTCTTATCTGATGGAATCTTCTTAAACAATACATCGTCTTCAGTCATTAATTCTGGTAGTTTGGTTGCTCCTCGATTGTAAACGTCTTTCATCCTCTTGTTTCTATCTTCGACCCAATTTTCATAACGATTTACATCTATTGGTTTCGGTAGAAGCAAATCTGCATGAACTGGCAGGGAACATCTAAGACGGCGAGACATCAGGAGTTGAGCAGGACTGTTCTTGCTGTCGTTTGGTGTATTCCTATACTGTAATAATGTTAGATAGGGATCTCCATTAGACTCGATAGTTTTCATTAGCATTCTCTTGATAGTTCCGATTGCTCGTTCGACTTGACCGTTGGACTGTGAGTGATACGGGCTTGTCGTGATGTGTTGAATGTCCCACTCTTTGATAAAATTGGCAAATTCTACGGCGTTAAAAGGAGGTCCATTGTCTGAAATTAGTGTGACAGGTATTCCTTGTCGACTAAATATGGATTTCAGCTCATTGATGACTATTTTTGCGTTTGTGCCATTCCTAAGTACTGATAATTCAATAAATTTAGAGAAATAATCTATACAAATAAGATATTTATTTCCCTTTAATTCCATGAAGTCAACACCTACTTTGTTCCATGGTATTGCTTTAATTTCGTGTGGCAATAAAGGTTCCTTTGAGTTGTTATTACTGTATTCCTGACACGCTACACATGTCGTTACAATATTTCGCACGTCATTTGACATATTAGGCCAGAATAATGCATTCTTAGCATAATCAAGGCATTTACGTACACCAAAATGACCCGTATGAATTTTAGTTAGCATTTTTGACCTAAGAGCTTTTGGAACCACTAAGTTATTTCCTTTGAACACTAGCCCATCAAGTACATTAATTTCCTTTTGAAATTTGTAATATGGTTTAGTCTCTGGGGGAAGATTACTCTTGGCTAGGGGCCAACCTGTTTGACAAAGTTTTACGATGGTTTGCAATTCCTTATCATTTTGAGTTTCCTTTCGAAAGGACTCTAATGTTTCAGGTGACACTTCTAAACATGACTTGAGCATATTTATGTGTAACGTGATATCTTCTTGTAAATCTACAATGGAGTCTGACAAAGGCGATCTGGATAATGTGTCCGAAATATACATTTCTTTACCAGGTTTGTACATGACATTGAGATCATAGCACTGAATTTTGAGCATAAACCTTTGTAGTCTTTGTGGCACTTTGTGTAATGCTTTTATGAATAAAGGCACTAATGGTTTATGATCCGTATGGACCGTGATTTTGTGACCAAAGATAAATTGGTGGAACTTTAGACAACCGTGAACAATCGCTAGCAGCTCCTTTTCAATTTGAGCATAATTAGTTTGAGCTTCGGTAAGACAGGCTGACGAGTAGGCAATTGGATTTGATCCATGTAGTATAACGGCTCCTACTGCACTTTGTGAAGCGTCACATGACAAAATTAATTCTTTAGTCTGGTCAAAGTAAGTTAGAACTGGGGCTTTTGTAATTAAGGTTTTTAATTTGTTAAATGTAGCTGTATGATTTGTGTCCCAATTCCATATTACATTCTTTTTTAGAAGAATTCTCAACTGCTGTGTTTCTTCAGAAAAATTTTTGATGTATGCTGACAAATATGTAAGCATTCCCAAGAATCTTTGTAGTTCTTGTGAATTTTTTGGTTGACTCATGTCTACAATAGCTTTAATTTTATTCGGATCTGGTGTCATGCCTTCCTTTGAGAACACATGACCCATGTACGTGACTTTATTAAGACAAAACTGAGACTTATTTAAATTAAATTTTAAATTTATTTCCTTAGCGCGCTTAAGCACCTGCTCCAATATCTCATGATGTTTTTCTTTAGTTGGTGCGTGAATTAGCAGATCATCAAAGTAGACTACTGTGTTAGGGATGTCTGCGAACAATTCAGTCATTGTAGAGTGAAAAATCTCTGGCGCTGCTGAAATTCCAAATGGAAGACGTTTAAAACGAAATCTACCGAATGGTGTGATGAACGTACATAATTTTGAAGACTCCTCATCCAAAGCAATGGTCCAGAACCCCCAATTAGCGTCTAGGGTTGAGAAATAATTAGATCCGTTTAACTGAGATCTAATGACATCGATGCTTGGGAAGGGATAGTGCGCACGAAGGATTGCTTTGTTTAAGTTGCGCGGATCTAGGCACACACGAATGCTGCCATTTTTCTTAGATGTGAGGACGATACTGTTAACCCATTGGGTTGGTTCCGAAACGGGACTGATGACATCTAATTCTTGCATTCTGATTAATTCCGTTTTCAGAGACTCGTATAGTTTAAATGGTATTTTACGCAACGGTTCCCTTATAGGTGTCACATTCTTGTTTATTTGTAGACGACACTGACTTTTTATTAGACCTAGACCTTTGAAGACTTCATTATACTGAGTAATTATAGACTGAGTGGACTGGACTTCATATTTGTTAAAAGTTACTTGGTTCACTCTTTTAAGAAGTTTGAGATCGATACATGTTTGTAATCCAAGAATAGGTTTACATCCGACTTTTATGACATGAAATTTAATTATGTGATCACTACTCTGAATATGACAAGTTAAATCGACTTCGCCTGCTAATTCAAGCCTTTCTCCACTTACGGTTCTAACGCTATTATGACTTACATTAATTAAGCCTTTTTTTAAATTAAGGCGACTAAAGTCTGTCAAACTCATGACGTTTGTTTCTGCCCCTGTGTCTAATTGACATAATAGAATAGTACCATTAATAGACACAGGTACTTCCCATTGCGACTTTTTAACAGAACACACATACGAAATTGACCCTATAAATAATTCATCACCTGTATCTACAGTTAGCGACTTGACATTCTTATTTCTAAGACACATTTTAGCATAATGACCAATTTTAAAACAATAGCTACACTTTACCCCATCTGCTGGGCACCTGAATCGATGATGCTGACCACACCTTTGACAGATATTCTTTCGATCTCGGCTTACCGGACTGGGAGACGTTGTTCGTCTAATGGATGGTGTCGTTCGTCTAGTGGATGGACTCGTTGACCTTTGGTGTGCACGATTTTTCCACCTGCGCTGACCCATTTCATTGTGACTTGTGTTGTAATGAACTGCTCCTACGACACTACAGCTAGCGGCTTCGATTTTGGACAATGTGTACGTCTTAGCCAATTCAACAGCCTTGTCGAGTGTGATTGCACCTTCAGATATAATTTTCTGTTTAACTTCTGCGAATCCGGAGTTAAGACCACAAGTAAAGATGTCTTTAACTAGACTTTCGCGCAGCTCCGTAAAATCACACGTTAGACTTAAGTTTGATAATGCTGTAACGAACTCTTCTAACGACTCACCCTCAAGTTGACGTCTCGTGAAAAATTTGTGCCTCTCGATGGAAATGTTTGTTTTTGGAGTGAAGTGTTTCTCGAATTTACTGATTAAGTTGTCATAGGTTACACTATCGATGTTGACATCGAAACTATTGAAGATTTCTAATGCTTCGGGGCCCATGTGGTGCAACAATAAAGCCACCTTGCGACCATTCTCTTCCCGTTCAAGACTTGTCGCTCTCAAATATATCTTGAATTGGGTGAACCACCTCTTCCATTCATAAGACAGATTCTTGCTGGCGATGTTAAGATGTTGGATGGAACATGTAGATCCAGCTACCTTGTTTCTAGGAGTGGTAGCAGCGACGGTAGCAGTTTCGACTACTTGATTTGGCATGACGACGTTTAACGACTACAACTTAAGACAAAGACACTTCTGACACCATGTTAATTATAGGGCGACAATTATAAATAAGGATGACACAGGATTTACTTAAGTAAGTATATTGTAAGTGACGGCTTGCTTACATGTCATGACAATTGTATGTGAAGGTCATTAGTCAACTAGCGCTAACTAATGTATCGTCAATTGTGGCTACAGCCACGTCTAATACTAATTCCGTAACAGTTATAACGGATTGTATAAAACGTTAAACAACTGTTACAGAATGTGTGCATTTGCAATCATTATTTGTTCTGTAACATGAATTGTAAGAATATCTACACAACAGCTTTAAAGAAATTTGTCTTTTTTATGACAAAACTATCGTATCATCATGCCTTAAAACAATAAACGATTCTCTAAGTAGCCCTAGACGATAGTTATGAAATAATTCCGTTCTCTTGGGGGTTCTTTATTGTTAGTTGGGTAGGTAGGTAATCCTTATAATTTATAAATACTTAACTGAACCTACCATAAGTGAATGTTATTTGTAAATGCATAAAAGATGTGCTCTAAAACGCAAATCTCATGCGTTTTTCTATCGCACTGGAAGGGCCTCAGGCAAAGTTGACGAGATATATATCAGTACGTAGTATTTAATTATAAGATGGGTACCATAAACAAAGGCCTAATATTATTCCTATATTATGTGTATATTGTTTCTTGCAAAACTACGAAAACACGTTCTTTGGTCTGCCAAGCCGAAAATTACCTAAGTTGGATATCCCTGATGGGCGATTATGTACTATATCTGGGAAATGTCTCACTAGATAGCAAACATTAAAAAAATATCCAACAGCGCCATTGCCATTTGTCGAATGCTTAAAGCATTGTATGTAATATTACAGGGTGATGTATTGGTTTACGCACCATACGTGTATTTCAATGCTAATTTCTTCGTATTGAAATATTTTCCCCCCTAATTATTTTACAGCAGCAAAATTGTAAATAATTTTTTTCTGCGTCTATTCGTGTGTCAATTTCTTGTTGTGGGAAATCCGAGAAATTAAAGAAATTATAAATTGTAATTGTAAAGCTAATATTTGTTTCCATGATTTTACGGCACGCGTTAGTAAAAATCACTCGTGCCGTGAAATTGAAAAATTAGGTTTTTACCCAAATACTAAATTCTAATTTATTTATTTTTTCCGGTTGCCAGAATTGAAAAATTCAGCAGACGCAGATTTTTAAAGCTACAAGAAACCTACTTACAACTTTGCTCTAAATTAATTAGGAGAGAAAATATTTCGGTTTAAAGAAAATAGTTTTTAAATCCTTTCTACACCCTGTATATGGCAACTTCAGACCACAGCGTAAATTTAGCCACCGGTTTTTTTACGAGTTGAATCACAACCAAACTAACATAACCTTAACATTTTGTTGTAAACATTTGCAAGTATAAATTATTTTCTTTGATTAAGACCTAAATAAAGCTAAGAAATGTCTCCAATGAAACTTCAACCTACCACTACAGTCACCGCAGATGATAGTGAGGGCGACTTATCTGCAGCCGAATCGGAGCATACAAATTCAAGTCGAGAAAATGATCCCGCCCATGACACCAGTGAAGGAGATGAAGCAGATTCGGACGATAGTTCCGAAATGGACGAAGACGAATGCGAGACACGTAGAAATGAATGCATGCAAAATCTATCGGACTTGGAACACCAATTTACATTTCTGCGTGAACAGTTATATCGTGAACGAATAGCTCAGGTCGAACACCAGCTGGCTGAAGTAAAAGGCGGTCGTTCCCAAGAATATCTTGGCCCGTTACAAGAACTTCAAGAGAATATGAGGATACGAACAGAGGTCGCCGGTGTTTTAAGACAATTACGCCTTGCGAACATACGAAATAAGTTTGATGCAGAGGAACAGGCCGCTAAACAAAACTTTGAGAGCGAGAAAAGTTTGGCATGGGATTACTTTTATGAAGATTTAATGAATACGATTAGGCACTTGGAAGAAGACAGACACAATAGTGAATTGACATGGGGCGAAGGAGGCGAATGGGGATCACGATCGCGGTCTCGTTCGCGTCGCAAAGCTGTTACTGTTACCGGGCCATACATTGTTTACTTGCTTAAACCTCAAGACATTATGGAAGATTGGACAATTATTAGAAAAGCGTTAAAAAGATCTCCGTAGATTATATTAGTTTGTAAGTTGTAAATGTGCGAAATAAAACAAATTATTAACAGTACTAATATTTTGTAAAAATATAACATAATTTATATAAAATATAAACACATGCGTAAACTTGAAGGTATAAAGACTTACGCTTAATTACCGATTTTAAAGAATTTAAAAACGAAAGTAAAAAATCCAACACCAACATTAAAATATTATTTTAACAAGTGAAAATGGAAAAAAGGAATTTTTTTATTTCATAAGAGCATGAACGACTGCTTTAGCGTTAAGTGATTTTAAATCTGTATAAGTTTGTCCAGTTCCTACAAATACAATGGGTTGTCCCGTGATATATGTCATTGAAATTGCCGCTCCGACCTGAAAGAATGGGGTCAATGGATGTTTGCACCTGCAGGAACGTACCTTATCATCAATGGTATCAAATTTTGTTAGTACCATTCCATCGATAATATGAGGATTGGAGCTGGAAGAGAAATCGGCAAGAGCTTGATTAAACTTAACTAACTGATCCACAGCCTCGTTTCCAACTAGTGCTTCTCCCACGAACAAAACCAAGTCAGGCTCGTTCACTTTGATCAGTTTTGATAATGCGCGCATCAGTGGTTCGTTGTCCTACACAAAATATAGAAGGTACTTATTGACAATCAATTCACTCAATTAATTATTAAAGTTCAGATTTCCAAGATAAAAAGATTGTGCCAGAATCTCTATGGCTAGCGATTTTTTTCTTAACTCGTCAAATTGTAGATTCGTTGAAATAATTGCTACCTACAGGTTATAAATTAAATTCAGTTGCAATAAAAATCGAACTGCTTCATTCTTATTTGATTTTGACTATAGAAAATAAAAATCAACAAAATTTCAGTGGTGCTAGATGGCGCTCGTGTTCACCTCTTTTGCGTTGTCCATAATAAAATTAGTGGTTCATAAGAGCACAATATGTCCAAATTTTGCTAAAAAACATAACATAGTGTTACAGAACATACACTGACATAGATGACGCTAGCGCTGGTAACAATGACCTTAGACTCATTGAACTATACCCTTGAACGTAGACCGACGTAGACGCCGTGCAACAGAATGATGTGATGGTATAACTATTTCAATTTCCGTCACTCTCATCGCGCACAATTTGTATATTGACACACAGAAAATATCATGATATAAAGAAAAGATCTGCTATAAATAGATTCTCAAATTCGTTGAGTCCGCGCCTGACGTCACGCAGAACTTAAAATTTGAATTTAAAATGAGATTTGATTCTTAATTCTACTGCAAATACTAAAATTTCTTAATTGTAATGATTTAGGGGAAAAATAAAGTTCAATTTATAAAACCTAAATGAAAAATATGAAGAACTCATTAAAGGTGACCTTTAAAAAATGCTATAAGCCATAATATTAATTCAAAGTTCTGACCATAACCTGACCGATAATGTAATAAACTGGGCGCGATGAGAGTGAGTGAAATAGTTATACCACCACCTCATTCTGTCGCACGGCTTCAATGATACGCATGTCGCTTATACCGGTTTCCCTTCCAATTACATTCTTTATAGTTCAGTGTTTATTGTACAGCTATTAATTACCTACACCTTACGCTCTCCTTACCTACTCCTGAAACGGAAAATCAAACGCACCTATGTTTATAATGGTTTTACAAAACTCTATCTATAGAGATTCTAGCACAATCTTTCTTTTGTCAAAATCCAAATGTGGAACTACTACGTTAACATAGCCCAATCAATTAGTAGTCTTACCTGCATACGACCCGCGGTGTCGATAAGCACAACGTCAATCTTTATATCTTTCGCATAACGAATTGCTTCCATTGCAATACCCGCGGCGTCCTTTCCGTAACCCTTTTCGTACAACTGAACCATCTGCTGTCCATTGTGGCGTTCCGGCGGATGTAAAGCATTCAAGTGCCTCATATGCGTACGCAATTGCTCAACAGCGCCCGCTCTAAACGTATCGCATGCCGCAATCAGCACTCGCATGTTATTCTCGATCAACCAAAAACAAATTTTCGCCAGGTTCGTCGATTTACCCACACCGTTGACGCCGCAAAACGCCATAACGTAAGGCCTTCCGTGTTTCTGCGCCTCCATGCAATCTCTCAAAATGTCGACGCGCCTTTCCGGATTTAAAATTTGCACCAAAGACTCCGTTAACGTGTTCTTAACCGTACTGGCAATACTTTCGAACGTACCCAAAACCTTCCCCTCCAATTTGGTGGCGACCGAATCACAGAGCTTGATCGCTATGTCGGCGGCAACGTTCTTCATGATTAGATGGTCCTTCATCTTCTCCAAAACGGGCTTCATGTCATCCATGGTGAGACTTTTTGAACCGACCAAACTTTTAAATAACGAAAACATACCACCCTTGGAAGGACTTTTTTTTGTTTTCTGCTCCTGTACTTCTTCTTCTTCATCTTCTTCTTCACTTGATGAGTCAATCTCAATATCCTTTATACTCCCTTTCATTTGCCCTACAAACTACAACAATAGCATTTTAGTCCACGTCCACTATAGTACGAAGTAAGGAGTAATAAATTATTTTGACAGACTCCTACAACAGGACTAACAAGTGTCCTCCTAGTTTACATCATCAATGAATAATGAATATGAATAGAAGGCTAAGGAGATGAGAGAAAATAGTAACATATTTCTAATATTTAAAAAAGGTCGACAATGAAAGTACAGGGTGCCCCATTTTCGACGCATTTACTGGGTAACATAGTCAAATTTAAAATGGTAACGTCAAAGTTTGAAAATATTGGCTCGCTTAAGAGATGCAAGAGAAATTTTAAAAAATCGTCAATTCCAGAATGACCCTATATTTTCTTATTTAAAATAGATACCAAAAAAAATGTTTATTTCTTTATAATGTTTGTTGAATGATCTGTCGTTATCAAAATAAAGATACAGGGTCCGGTAAAAAAGTTATCAAACCTAACCTCATTTTTTTAATGAACACTTTACTTTAATCTAAAAAGATAGCATATTAAATTATTTATTCAAAAATATAGCACTCCAAAAATTCAAAAAAATTCTATATTGTTTCAAAAATTCAAGGTTTTAAAAATTTGTTTTAAACTCAAAAATTTTTTTTTGGTTTTTTTTTAAATCACTTCAACCTTTTTTAGGTTCTTTTTTAACCTTTCTAAAACCATCTTTAAATTTTTTAATATAATCCCTGCCATGTTACATTATTCACTGATTATTGCATAGAGAATTGAATATGCTACTTATGTCTTAGATTAAAATATACAGTTCATGTTCCATTTAAAAAAAAAGGGTCCAATAACGTTTTTACCTGCCCGTACTTATTCTGTAGATTATTCAAAAATCAATATAACGAAACTTTTGTAAGAATTTTGGCCAACCTTTGATTCATGTTTAATTAGCAAACGTTTGTTCTAGAGAGCAACCTGTCAAATACTCTAGTAACCTGGACCTTTGAAAAAGCATTGCATTGTGCATATATTCAAGATTCTTATTCAATGCGGATATATCAGTTGTCTGCTTTTATAGATTTATTACTCCTTCCTATTCTAGGATGAACTATACCTCTTCATCAGCAGTGTAGTGGCTCTGCATGTCTTCGGGTTTGTCTACAGTCCGTTCTAAAGATTGCACATCTTGCGTCGAACCGCTCAGCTCCCAAACTCGCGGTTTCTTTCCAGCTTTCTCCTTTTCGGGTTTGGGGCTCTTTCTGTCAACAAATTCCTTTACTCGAAACCAACTGAAAAGGGCATACTCACTTTGTGTCAGATTTTTTCTTACCACCCATTTTCATGGCAAATTTTAGTCTATTATTAGCAATAGTATCTTCATCAATACTACCGTTTTGTACATTGTTTTCAGGTGAAATTGGTTTTGAGTTCTCTACACCGGCATCTGAAAATTCGAAATAATAATGAAGTTACGGCAACAGTCAAGTTCACCTGGTGCGAAATTAACTAGCTTCTTTTTATTGGTCTTATTCTTATCTTCACCTTTTCGTTCGATCATCGAGGCGACAGTTTTCTTAGACTTAATTGACTCTTCATACGATTTCATTTGCTTAGGCACCTTGGCCTGCGATTTTGACCAACGCTCGACAGCCTGTAAGGTCTCGTTGAAGGTAGACATGAAATCGAATTCTCGAAAACATGTGGTGTTTGTGAGGTCATTTTTATACTTGTCACGGAACTCTAAATGAATGTCGTTCAAAAATTTGTCGACATACGACAGTTGTAAGATCTTTTGGTATGCGACAACGAAGACTAAATCGAATTCATTGTCCAACTTATACTGCAAGGTTAATCCATCACGATCAAATGAATTGCTTCCAGTACGTTCCTAGAATGTTGCATATGTTATAGGAAAAGTTAAGTTTATCATTTTACCTGTAGGATAACAGTTTTTATTAAAGCGTTTATCGATGGCGTAAATATTTGACTAGTACTTTGAAAGCACCATAACACAATGCCTCCCTTACTAAATATTGTGAATAAATCTAACATGTTTTATATTAAAAAGGCAAGGGTTAGCAAAAAAAAACATATGCAATTTGCGATGACGACTGACACTGACAGCGGTGAGGTTAAAACTAAACGGAAGTGCCTCCCTCTCTTGCGTTTTTGTACAATTTTGTTTTGCCAAATCAGCAAAACCTTGTACGTGCTAACATAAATTTGGCAACACCGCCAATAGTTTGATTTTGACGAGGACCGGTGCTATTTTTCTTGCATGAATCGTGCAATTCTAGGGATAAATCTAGTTGTTTTTGTGTCACCAACCTAGTAAAATACAGCGGCGGCAACTATGATGCTGAGAGACGCACTCATTACTTGTTTTTATTAATCTTATTTATTCTTGTAATTTTTCACGTTTCTTCAAGCAATCAAAATTTAATTTTCATTTGAGGTTAACTACTTTGTTGACAAATCCATATGTTTCTTCTGTTGGCAGACATGTGGCAATTGAAATAGAATTGCACCATGTCAAATACCATGCAATGCTTATTGCATGCAAGGATTTGACCTTGCAATTTCTTTCTGCAAGTTCTTGCGCGTTGTATTGCTCCATGTCAAGCGGCCTTTATACCATTGAATTTATAACTATCATAAATTCAATGGTTATACAACGTTGAGATAAAAGGGCTAAACTCCGTACAATCTGCGCATGCGAAAGAAACGTCAATGTTGCAATGTTATTAATTAAAATGTAGGTTAGATTATTGTTTTCAATGTTTTCATCACAGGCCGTTATAATGAATAAACATATTCGTAAATCGTAATGTACATTTAAACTCGCACTTTTGAGGTTGTATACCAAGAGCCATGTTTCCCTGCAGCAGTATAAATTCCGAAAAGAACAGTATAAGCCCCATGTTCACAAATCGTAACCCAAGACATTTCAAATACCTACGAATCGCTCATAAACCGGACGGCTACTACTGTGATAAAACTGGAACGCTCCTACTGGCATAAATATACAAATTTGCTTTCCTACCGCCTCCAATAAGATAGCCCGATTGTAGATGGCAATCGACACAAACAGGCCGTCACGTAACTTCATTGTTCGTGCATTACTTCAACGGACCCGACACTCACCGCTAGCACGAAGGAATGGGCCATCAAAACCAGGCTGTATAAGACCATGCACCAAGTCATTGGCGTACGTGAACGTCACATGGTCATGTCCCTGCATTCAATTTAATGTTTGCTACTTGTAGGTTTCAGTTCTTCGTACAAAGATGCCTTGCTAGCGGTCCGACAGAGTTTATATACGATTGCAAACCCCAACACAACGGCAATAAGGTCGCAAAGTTTCTAACGTGCTCCAAGATTTCAATTTCAAGGGCAATGCTGCGCGTTGAAGCCTGGGGCGGCCATATTTTCGGAGCCAAAATTTGTTTAATTTTTCATTTTCGTGATTATGCGATCTTTAAGTCTCGAAATGTGCGATTAAAAACGTTATTGGACAATGGTACAGGTATAAACTTGAGGTTAGTTTTCGGTGGAATAACAAACAAATGTGGGCTTCACTTTACGATCATTATTATCACTCCTCACTCTTTCCTTCTCTACGGTTATATCATTGTATATTGTTATATCGTGGAAATACAATGAATAGGTATTCTTTATTCATTGTGGAAATACGTGGATTTTGACGTTCTGAAAAACCAGATCATTCAAATACAAATACATTTTTGAAAATTAACAGATAAAATCGTTTCATCTGAAATATTTTCAGTTTTTATGCCACTTCCGGTGGCCCACGCTTGGTTCAGTATGCCGAGTCTTTAAATCTTTAAAAGTTTTGAAAAACCTCCAAAAATAGTTCATAAAGTAAAACTGTGAAGATATCACAGAAATAAATTTTGTAGGTCGTTAAAGCATAAATAAAAACCATTCTCTGGCCATTGAATTTGTAACTAATTCAATGCTCTGGCGTTATAACTTATAAGCAGCAAAATTTGAAATATGCATGTGTAGGTCACATGATCCAGTAGAGCTGTCCTATCTACGTAGTCCAAATGTACTTAGTAATATTTAGAATATCTACGTCTGGGTGCATTGTGACTACCAAAAACCCTTTAACCTTAACCTAAAAAAATGTTACCTTGTTTTTAGTTTCCCTTTTTAAATTTTATTGAAATGAGCAAACGTAATGGAAAGTTTAATGGGTTTAAATCCGAAAGTGGAAAGAAACAAAAAATGGACAATGTTGATGATTTATGGGGCGACGATCTGGACATTAAGGATGTGGAAGATTGCTTTATGTTAGCCTCGCAAGTTTGTGAACAGGTAAATTTGTTTAAAACAATCTAAAGATTGTTGCAAGTTTGTTTTAAGCCCAACATACCACGGACTCAATTAAATAATGTATCAATTTTACCTTCGTATGAAGGGTTTCAACAGAACATCTTCACTTCTACACAAATAAATCACGAAATGACGATAAATAAACCTTTAGCAGATAAATGCAGACCGATAACAAAACAAAGTGGGAGTACATCAACCACATTGAAACGTACAGCCTCCTTCAGCCAAACTACAAATAAAGAAATTGACATAGATGTGAAAATTAAGAAACTCGAAGAAGACTACGAGAGTAAAGCTGGAGAGGTTGGTATATTACGTAGCAATTTGAGAGACGTTAAGGCTCAACATGAAGCAGAACACAAGAAAATACAAAAGGAGTGGAGTGAGAAATTGTTCACCACAACGAAACAGTTACAAGGTGTCGAGAGCCAGTTGCAGTTCAAGGTAGTTCCCTTTGAAAGTACACATTTATTAATTCTCCACTTTAGAATTTGGAGATTGTAAATTTGACTCAAAAATTGAAAGAGGCGACTAAAATCAATAACGGCGATGCTTCACACTCAAACACTGTTAGCAGTCCATTTTTTAAACGCCACAGTCATGTGCAACGGTAAGTATTCTCTAGACCATTGTTTTCCTAACTTGAAGTGGATTTTAGATCGGCGCCGTGTAATGCGGGTCCTCCTGTACACACTGAATTTAAGGTTCATAAATCTGTTGAAACACGTAAGTACATCCAAACAGGTTGGAGAAAAGTAGCCATTGTTTTGTCAACTAGAGCACACTAAGTAGCAAAATATATGGTTATTTTTTCTTATCCTGTAGCATCCCCCTACATGGAAAATCATTGCTAATATCAGCAATTTATAGGTTACCCTTTAAACAGTATCATTGATCTAAATGTTTTTCGAGTCCCTGTTGCGGAAATGTGTTTCAAAGATATAGATTGCATGTTTATGTGTCCGACTGTGCAAAATTACGTTGTCAAATTGCAACCACCTGTTAAGGTAGCAGAAACTTGCAGATTTGATAACATTTATGATTCCATGAAAAAGTTAAAAGAATGTAACCAATTACAGTTGCTTCAAAATAAAATCGACATTGACAAGGTAAGAGGTGAACGATAGATGTGATAGTATATAAGCATGGCTTCTTACAGCTTTGGGACGTTGCTGAGCATTTGGTCAAAAATGTTTTTGTGTTCCTACAAAGTCTAGGTATTGATACCAAAATAGCTAATGATGAGTATGTGTTAAACTTGCAGAGGCTTTTGGAAGATGATACATGTAATTTAGATGAAAGGTAATTGAAAATACTGTACATGTGTGAAACAATGACTTCTTTTTTCTCATTCCTAAGGTATCCATATTAATCCTTTGTCCCTCTATGCTTATATAGGTTCATTTTGAAATTATGATTTATGTGCACAGTTTAATGATTATCAAAGAATTATTTCCACTGTAGTATGAGGACTGCTTGACAGTCACCTTTCTAAATTTCACCAGCCAAATCTCCCACACATTTCAATATTAAACGTGTGGGGAACGCATCAGAACAATGATTTCTAAAGTCAGTTGAGTTTAATTCTTGCACTATTTGGATCTTGTAGGGATGAAACCTCAAATCTATCGTTAAAATTTTATGTAAAAATGATTTACGCATTCCCACATTTTCCATATGTGACTGTATGACCCTTGGAGAAGCTTTCATAGTCTAAGGTATGACCAGAAGAATACTGAGGTTAACACAATTTTCCAAATTATTTTGTTTTACCAAATTTAACTACCTGAAATGATTTATCATTTTAGAAAACCATCGGAAGATGAAATGGGAATATACACAGCACAAACTATTAGATGCATAACGGAAATTGTACCGTACAACACAACTGTAAATGAACACATCAGTCATAATGATCCACTGCTGCAAAGTATGGGCTCTTTTTATTTCACAAAGATATTAACTTTGGTGACCCTAATCAGAAAATTAGTAAGTAAACTCCATATGACCCAAATGTTATTGACCGTCGAAGGTTTTTTAGAAATTGTTTCATAATTTTAAGGAATTTTTAAAAGCGCTTATAAAGTTTTTGGATAAAATCTGTACAAATTTTACTATACGTTCCCTGTAAGTTATTTCTGTTGACGCTTGGACTCAATTAATCGATCTTATTGTAGAGATTTTGGTAGTAGCATCTTCGATGTAACTAGAGAAATTATTTTATGTGTTCCCAGCGGTGTTGTGATGTCGCACTTCATCGAATATTTAAGTAATCTCGTTCTACAAAGTAATTGTCTGACAAGGCTGTGTACAAAGTGTGATGACAAAGAATTAAAAATCGATCAAAAAACATACATCGTAGTTTACGAAAAAAGTAAGTATTCACAAAGATTCTAACTGAACTGGTAGTTGCTCTTGTACTGAATCCTTGTTATTATTTTGCAGCTACCTGTATTCTTCATATCCTGTTTATGCTACTGGATGAGATGATGAAAAGAAATACAAAATATGATGTAAATGTCATGCAGTTTATTGCAAGTTGCCTGAGATGTAACGGGGAATGGTTCTCAAACAAGGAAAGTAAACGGTACGTAATAGCTAGTGAATCACAATTTTGATCACCTTTGCTTTTCAGTTGCTTCTGTGTTTCGAAGGCAGTAAGGATGTATGTTGATCTTATGTACAAGACTGTACAAAGGGCGAATGTTAGTTGCAGTGCGGGTAAGACATTGTAAAATCATTAATTCATTAAATTGACAATTGATTTGCAGGTGATGCCGATTACGAATGTCTAAGGGGTAGTGTAGATACCCTCATCTTTTTAAGTGCCACGTTATTCGATGTGGTAGTTAAGTATGCTGTGACTTTTTCTCGGTATACAGTTATTATTGCGTCACTACTCCATCTTCAAGACAGTTTGAATTTAAGCGAGTTGGAAAGTGTGTATCAATCGTAATTTTTGCTTACTATCATTTTTTTTATTGCAGTTCAGGTTTTGGATAGTTTGGGAAAAAATGAAGAGGTCCAAAAAGTTGACGAAGAAAAGTTCAAGAATATTTCCCCCTTGCTCGAACTGAAATTGTAGCATAGTGGGGAATTTGTATGTTTTTAGCTAAACAATGAAGCAAGTGATAGATTGCAACTGGCATATTATGCACAGATTTTTAAAGTAACAGGACCATATTGTAAATATAAATGTTGGTTTATTAAAAAGATTTGTTGATATATTGGAGTTATAATAAACGAATGTCGTAAAAATTGTGCATATGGTTTATTATTCTTTATTAGAGATAGGTATCAGAAATACACTACCTATATCTCTATTCGCTCAAAATCTCCACAAGTCTGTTTCAACAAGCAACAGAGTAGTAATAATTGGTTCAGTTGCAACTGGGTGTTCGTGTTTGTTGCTGCAATATTCTTGATGCTTGACTATATGCAAAAGAAACAGGAACCTTTAAAAAAACTATATGTATTGAATTTAATAAAAAATCCAGCAACCACCACCTGTTTTTTTCAGTGACAATTACATACACATGGATGCTATGTAATATACAGCAACCTTGGGACATACCAGCTTCATTTTTCATTTGTGATTAAATTAAATTAAATTTCCCTTTATTGCCCAACAGAAAAACAAACATTCCAATTACAGGACAATATGACGTTACAAATAATAAAGTGTGCAAAAGTGAAATATTAGCTTAAATCTTAATATAATAATACCTTATTGTTCTACATAACAAAACAACCAAAAACAAAACAAAAGAAAATTAATAAAATGAAAAACTATGAATGCATTGTATGGTATTGAACAATCAACAATTGCTTTAACTCCCTAAGGGTGTGAAAATTTATATCACCTAACCGAGAAATTTTGTTGAATGTACTGCACATGTGAAACATCGGCGACTTTAACATTAAATTAGTATGGGCGCTCTTACAATAAAAGGTAACAACATTCCGAGTGGCATGAAGTGGAACCGAAAATGTGATCAAAGACATCAACTCAATGCAATCCACCTTATTCGACACTATATTGTATAGAAAGGTCAGTCCAAGAACTAACCTCCGAACTTCCAAAGAAAGAAGTTCAAACCGTGCGTTGAGTAGCGCGTTCTCATACCCTTGAGGAGGGTAAACTCCATCGCACTTAAATGCGAGATATTTCAATAGTCTTCTTTGCACAGATTCAATTTCATGTTTCATATTTTTATAGTGCGGACACCAAACTATAGCACAATACTCTAGCTTAGATCTAACAAAACTGATATAAAGTAATTTTATTAACGAGATGTCCTTAAAGCTTTTTGTATTGCGAATTATAAAACCTATCATCTTCATCGCCGAGCTGGTGATATTTCGAATATGAGTGGTAAAAGATAACTGATTATCAAATGTAACACCCAAATCCACAGCAGCAATATCACGATTAAGAACAGTATCTCCACATCTGTACAAGTAAGTAATGGGTTGCAATTTTCTTGTATATGTGACCACCTTGCATTTCGATGTATTTAAATGAAGACAGTTAGCATCACACCAATCTTGAATGATCCGTAATTGGCTTTGTAAATATTCACAGTCACTAATCCCATTAATACCATAAAAAATTTTCAAATCATCGGCATAAAAGTGATGTGTACACGGTATTTGAGTTGATAGGTCATTTATAAAGAGGACGAACAGTAGTGGCCCAAGGTTAGACCCCTGGGGCACACCTGAGGATGCAGAAAACAGTTCAGAATTATAGTTGTTGAATGCTACATATTGCACTCTGTTAAGCAGGTAAGAAGTACAAAGTACTAAAGAATATATTACTCTTTGAAAGATCATTAAAAATTAAAAGACCCATGCATCCTCAACTTTTATTTGTGAGTAAAATAAACCCAAAATATTGAAAAGGTGTGTTTTTAGTATGAATTTGAAACGTTTCAGTCTAAACAAGTCACAAACCTACAACCAATCACGTAGAAGTGTGCGAGGCCCAAACTCACCACTGACCGCTATTTAAATTTAGATTAGTGAAACCTTAGAATCGAAACGGCTGGGCGCAAAAATTCGTCAACGCGCGTTCGGCTTGATTCGTTACGGCTCTTCACTGGTCGACGCTGTATAGCGGTTTTTTCACTTATTCGTTTTCTAATCAATTACCACATCCGTTTCCATATGAATAGTTGGACATTTGTTAATAATTGATTCGTTTCGTGAATTTCTTGTTCGTTAAATTGTCCTGCCGAATTACACTCAAGGTTTGTATTTAAACCGACTAAAATTTTTGTTGTTGAAATTCAAATCTGTTTCCTTTAGCAATTTGACTCAAAAAACAAAAAATGCTCCACCTAATTGCTAGGCAACATTACCTAAACAACCCAAATGTACTCTGTCAAATGTCGATTCGTTGAGGTGATGAAGATAATTGTATAATAAACTCGTAAAAACAATTGACCTACAAAATGGGTCTTCTGAATAGAGCGTCCTACATTTCGAATCAAAATAACGAGATCATAAAAACCTCAGAGGAATAAATTATTCCTCTGAGATAAAAACCAGTTTTTTGTATGCAGCTTAGTAAATGTTTGCATAATAAAATAGTCACATGTACAGTGTGGGAAGCGATGGGGTATACGTACAAGAGGGAATTTTTTTTAATATTGATTTATCAAAAAAATTTATTCTTCATGATATTTTTTGCTTGCTTTGAAAGTACCAATAACGTTTCGATAATCTAAAATTTAGTTATAGAAATCTGGAAAAATAATAAAATTAATTTTTTTATTGAAAGTTATCATTCTACATTATAATCAAGATAGCGTATTGCTATCAAACCATAAACAATCGAAACGTTATTGGTACTTTCAAAGCAAGCAAAAAATATGAAGAATAAATTTTTTTCATAAATCAATATTTTAAAAAAATTCCCTCTTGTATACACCATCGCTTTACACACTGTATATTATAGTCCTACAAATTAAGTAACATCTTTTCCCAGTCTTGCGCTTGGAAGTTGCACAGACATATATACGAGCATAATTATTATGCGATCAAAAATGAGTTGCTGTCGAGTTACCTTTGGAATTTTTGTTTACATGGGAAATCGTATTTAACACTAACTTACATAGGCGACTCGACGGCAACTCATTTTTGATCGCCCGTTATATGTCTGGAAAGTTGTCGTTTCCATGATAACGCTTTTCCATTAGAAACCGCAGGACAAAAGAACACATATAATTAACACAATTTTTATCTTCCAGCACCTTTCATAAAGAAGGCTATGTTTAATAAATGTTAAGAGCCATTCTTAGGATCATGCCTTTTCAAATGCAAACGGTTTATAGTCGCCCATTGAGCAGTGATCTAGTTAGTCAGAATCAGGGGCTCTTGCCCTTGTTGGGCGAAAAAGCAAGGGCAGTGCAATTACCAGTATACTAGGACATCAGGGTATCACGGGCGAAGAATACACATATTATAAAACATTTGTGCGTGGTTAGAACCATTTATAAATTCAATGGTTAGAACTCGGACGCGCGCCCATGTTGACTACGAAATAACGTGTCTCATTGGAATATAAAGTTGTGTTCAAGGTTTCGAAATTCATTCCATAACAGATACCCTCATTTGAATAAACAGCCTGTATATTAATCTTCAACCTCCCGCTAACAAATAATAGAATCAACCCTGTATAGTCTAACATATTAGCTAGCATAAAGAAAATTCCCCAAAGATTGCAGCATAGCTTAGATCATATACAGGGTGTTTACGGTCTTCTCTGTATCCTAATAAAGGGCGGCAGTACAGCTCAAAAGGAGTCGACGAACCCCAAAACACCTTAGTAAACTAAAAAGTAATTTAAGTGGACAATGCTAATTAAGTAGCAGATCGCTAAATTTGTACACAGATTAATCGTTTAAAATAAAACAAATATTATCTCGCTTATTAATAACTTTTACCAAAGAGTACCCAGTACTCTTTGCTTTTACTAAGGTGTTTTGGGGTTTGTCGACTCCTTTTGAGCTGTACGGCCGCCTCTTAAAAGGATACAGAGAAGACCGTAAACACCCTGTATGTTGACAATATATGATCTAACCAGCATACCTAGTTTATCATATTTATTTATAAACGCACCTAATTCAATTTGCATGATCAACAAAATTGCAACGTGCTGAGAAAGCATTCCGTATGCACCAGCTATAGCAAATGAACCTAGCTACACCATCAGCACTACCCCTAGTTACCTGCTATAACTCAGTTACAAATATGCGTAATTTTAGGCAAAGGCCCTACCAATTCAAATATATGTTAACAAGAATCTATTAAATCAACAGCAAATATATAATAGCCAGTATCGGCCCGCGCGTCTTGTGCGTGATGAGATGGGATACAGGAGCGCGTCAATGAGTCAACCAGCCTGGACTGCTAGCGCAACTGTTTCAAGGTACAGCGTCAGCATGAGGCGTCGAAGCCTTTCCAAGCAGAGGTGCAGAACGAGATGTGATTCAATCCTCGCGCCACAGGGAATTCTGGGAGCCAGGCATTCTTGATCTTATTCATCAGTGGGATAAATGCTATAGAAATGGAGGTGACCATTAACTTTGTAAGTGTAATAATAAAGGAGAATTTACCGCCGATCCGGTTTCATACGACTGCGCCTAGTATTTTCAAGATTCAATTAGTCAATCTTACTGGAGACAACATACAATCATGGGTTAATTATAATGCAAATATTATTTGAATAATCTGCTAAATAGCTGCATGAGTATCATTTGCAGACGCTTGAGCTTGCTAATACTCGGTAACTATGTATAGAAGAAAGTACATAATTATTGTAGATTTTATATAAATCAAGGTTCAGTGGAAGTACAATCTAGGGTACCTTATATTGAAAGATAATAAAGACCTAAAATATACGAAAATCTGCAGCATTATTAAGGATGCTTTTTTCTTGCTCTCTTTAGGTAACTGTCCAATTGTGATGTAATCTATAAGAAAAATCTCCAACCAAAATTCAAATTGCAATCAATCTGTGACAAATACCTTCTACTTCTACTTTACTATAATCTGTTCACTCAATAGATGCAGTTAAGCCACTTCGCGGGGCCTCGCACTTTAATTTCCGAGTCAGGTAATGACATTTTATGACGTTTGTATTAAATTTTACCCGAAATCGTCTTAATCTGTCAGTGATGAGGAGTCATTATAGACACTTGGAAATGTCACAAATGCGGCCGGCAAAGTGACAAGCCGCAGGAAACGTAGTCTGCTCTGCCTCTGTCATGGAAACTAAAATTTCCTGACAGAAAGTAGGCATGAAACTGAAGGTTTCAGGACGATTTTGGGTAAATTAAATTAAGGGCAAGTTGAGGCAAGACAAATACAAAACCCATTGACAGGTTTGATCTTACGGATGTCAATTCAGATACGCCAATTAAGTGGAAGCAAATAGTTCCACATTACAGGTTTTGAAAATTCGGCCAATTAAAAACGCTCATTTAAATTTGCCGGGAATTTTTCGAGAGGATCTTAACTGCATCTGTTGATGAAAAGATAATAGCAACATGCACAAAGTAATTATTTCAAGAGAAAATATGGTCACATTGTTTATTTTAAAATTTTAATAACATAAGAACAAAGAATTGCATTTCCATTAAAGAATTACGTTTTAATAACAAAAGTGTGGTGTGGGCATTAAAAAATGGTAATAGAAAAAGCTAATCTTACGACTATTAATAGTGCATCACGAAATTTAAAAGATTTCTTCCAACAACGACTTTCATCAGAGTGCACACAAATTATACAACAAACATAAAATTTCACATATCTTATAAGGACAATAACATCGTATTTTAAGCAATTGTAGTCATACCTATCTCATATTTACACATAATAATTATAATTGCAAGTTAATAAAATAATGACTTTGAAAAGTTATTAAAATAAACTATTCATGGTTACTGTACAATCACAGACAACCACCTACTTTAATAAAAACATGCAAACGAAATTTATATTGGTCTAAAAGTAGAGTATTTTACATTCACGGATTAAATAAATACTGTTTTTATATTACAGAAGGGGAGAAAACACAACCATCGGCACTAATTAATATTAAGGCAAAATGCTCCATTATTACTGTTAGTCTCGCATGTTGGTCTCGTCCTCATAAGTAAAATCTTACTAGGTAGACCAAGTATGCGAGGGCACTACGCTAGTACATTAAGTAATTACAATAATTATAAGCAGCCATGAAGATTTGAAAGTGCAGGTAGGAAGAGGTAATAAAAAAGATGTGTAATATAATGAATCGCAAACAGTCCTGAGCAACAACATGAGGATGGATGGGATTAGTACTATACTGACTAACAGGGATGCTACCCGTTTTATAAAAAGTGTCTAACATATTCTCCTTTTCTTCGAAACGATTGTAGAGCCACTGCGTCAAAGCGTCCGTACCTGCAGGTAGTTCCTCACAATTATATAATCTATAAAACACAATCGTTTTGCACGGTTCTTTGTGACCGAAAACGATCGACAGTAGATCTAGCGGTTCTCCTTTTGGGTACGCGATCGTTATATCCAAAACCCAAGCCAACTTATCTACTTTATTTATGTTATTGGCTAAAATGTTACAGATTACGTTACGAATTGACGGCTAGAGTATTTACCATTAATTGATTTTGAATTATTATTTGCCACTCTCTGTGGTCCAATTGTCTGCATAATAGCTTGTAAGGCACCTACTCTGGGCAAGGATACGTTATTTAATATGGGGAGGTTATTTTGTGCGGCATATTTTTGGGACACAGCTTTACGTTTGCGAAGAAATCCGCCTTCTGGAAACAGCACCGCCCATTTTCTACTTCTTGGAATGTAAGACGTTATTAAATGCACGATCAGCTCTTTAATGGATTTTTCTCTTGATGCTTTACCCTGAAAGAAGTATTTATTAATCTCATTTAAACAATTACAATAAAACTTCTAACTGTTCGCTAATTTAGTATCTTTATTAGTTAGAACCAAGAGAACCTGCAATTTAAAAATATTGCAATGACAGCATTTAGATTTGGATTGAATTATTGAATGTTTCCCGCAGAAATAGGTTAATTAGAATTTTTGAGCTGTAAAAGATGTCAATAATAATAATAATAGTTTAATGTCCAACAGATTTACATCCAATTACAGGACACGAAAATAGCTATTGTGCAATTTATCTTGGAAAACAAAACAAAATGATAACTAAAATAAAAGTAGGTATACTCCTGGAAACGTTATCATGTTATCAAGATTAATATAACATTCGCACATTATCTAATAATTCAGACAATTCGCAGTTATGTACATCTGTTCTTGAATTTAGATTATGAAAAATCTGTAACTGTTTATTAACAGGGATTTAAACAATATGTTTCTATTAGGTTGCGGGTAATAAAAGCTATTATTGTTACGAGAGAAATATGCTGGCACTCTAAAATATGTAATTCAGAATTTCTATGTATACAATTTTGTATAGGCTTTCTTTGTTTTGCGCATGCGCAGTATCAAAAACCACTGAAAAGATATTTGATATTGCTGAATTTCAATAATAAAAATTTGCTACAAAAAAAGCCTAAAAGGACACTGTATTTATTCCAATTTTAAATGATTCCTTATTGCACTTGTCTGAATACTAACAAAAAAACCACCTTTTGTTTTCACAATTAGAACTAGAATTACTACACGAAACAAAGGAATAAACGTGGGGGGTTTCAGTTCCTCATACGTTATTCTAAAGCTGCTTTTACATGAACAATAAATTTATCAATTTCTTGTTCCAAGTCACTTTGACAAGAAAACTTGCCGAGTGTAAGCACAGAATTGGATGTAATAACTTGATCAATTTCTTGTCGGATTAGCGCAAGTTCTATTTTTCTGAAAATGTTTACGCCAATTCAGTAGTACCAACTGCCATCAACCAACATAAATAATACAGTCAAGATGTTTTCATCATTTTTATGAGCTATTCTTATAGCTAATATAGCGATCTTTCTTTTTCTATTCCGTAATCTTGTATTCAAGAGAGAGAGAAACATTTCACTTTTCTCTTTTTTTTGTACACAATTAACAAAAATGACAACCTAACCTTAAAATAATTAAAGGTTGGTGCAATTGTACAATAACAACAAGAAATTGACCAAGTTAACAGCAAAGAACTTGAGCAAGAAACTGTTCAATAAATTGTCAAATAACTTCATGAAATAATTGATGAAGAAATTGTTGATATCACACTAGCTTTATCCCACTCAGTTGCAATGAAACTGACACATATTACGTAAACCACTTCAAATACAGAATACGTACAGCTGTAATAAAGAAATCCTGATGTAAAACGCTTACGATCCCAAAGTTAGTATACTTGAAATGTTTATCCATAATCCACATGATATTCGGTAGCACTTGTTTTCGAGTGTTAAAAACCGCCATCAACAACGGAACGTCCGCCGTAGACTGATGGTTCGCTATAACCAACGTCTTTTCGTCCAAGCAACTGGTGATGTCGTCTCCCATTTCCACAACTACAAATAGTAAATATAGTCGTTCTATTGTCACGCTTGGGAATAGTACCGTCGTATCCGGCAGACCAGCTCCACATTGAAACCATCGCTAACAGCCAATGAAAGAAATACCCTTCTATTTTCCAATATGTTTCCGGATGCAATTTACGTAACGGTGTAAGTAAGAGCATCCAAATTACATACGTGGGGATGCAATACGCATTGTTTATTAAGATAAAGCACAGCCGTAATATTGCCTTAGGTATAATATACCAATTTCTGAAAAAGAACATTTTTTAGAAGCAATCCGTGTAGGTCACATTTTTTTTATGAATAAAAAATAGTTACTGATAACATTGAAAGCTAAACAAACATTAATATCACTAATGTAGATTATCATGAAGTGGCTACAGACATGAATAAGCAACTTTTCAGTAATAAAACAGAAACAATAACAAAACATACTTTTTCAAAATGGTCATAATCCTGCTTGTATAACTCTGATTATGATGTACCTACCTATCATTAGTAAATTGTGTGTTAATTACCTACCAGTAAAAAATTATAATTTCTAACAACGATTAGATAAATGTTTAAAAACTACTCATTCTGGTGGCCTTGTATTTAATAAATTCATGTGAATACTTACTCCAAATAAAATAGTAAATTATCCATTACTCTTGTTCACAATTAAGTTAACTCCATAAAATTAGCGATAAACTACAAAATCAAACAGTTTGTAATTTCACACAATTTTAAATTATAAAGTACTAGCGATGAACTGTATCTAGAATTTTAGTTAATCACAGTATCATACTTTCATCCTTACATAAAAGCTAGCGATATTATATTCCGTTGCAGAGAAGGAACGTTGAAACAATGCAGTTTGGCTTCTCCAAAAATGCATTTAAAGTAATTTTTTGCGAAAAATATTTTCAAAATCTGCAATCAATCACACTCGGTCGAAGTGTCTGTTTAGGTTAGGTCGGTTTATCAAAATGTTTCTTGCAGTGTCCATATTTTTTTGAAGTTGGTTAAATGTGGAAAATTTACGTTTCGGTTTCCCTTTTTTTCAATTTAAAAACGATGCCGTTTCGGCACCAGAAAACAATAACTTCTTTCAGCTGCAACCATTACAAATAAACGCCAGGTTGCCAATTTTTGACAGGCAAATTTAAAATGACGTTTACTGGAAACATTGTTGCCAAATGCTTAATTATCTTCCACGCACCATTACTTTTTACAACTATGATTCATCTTGGTATTGTATAATATAAACAACGATATCATGAACGTTTTAATAGGCGAGTGACATAACAAGATAAGGATTCAATAAATGACTAACGATAACTGTGTTTTTGTAGTTGCCTAACGGTTTCCTCAAATGTTGTTTTTAAAGGGATTTTACTTAAGCTTTGATGAAGTACCCTGTGCACACCGAGTAGATAAGATCTCGTACCCTCTTTTTTAAAATAATCTATTCATTGAGGAGTTGACCCACAGGTAGTTATTTAAAATGTAATTTATTTTTCTCAATGTGCCCTATATTTGAAAATGACGCGCCTAAAACCATATTTGAATTTTTCCGAAATTTTCAACTCCTTTATAAAATAAATTATCGTTTACAGTGCAAGCGGCAATTATTTCTTTCTTGACTGAACCCGCACTAGTGTGTGGAGCGCTTAATATGTCATTAATTTTCCTTTGTATACCTATCTGTCTGTTTGACTGTCTGTATGCTCAATGAAACTTTGCTCCTGGACCACGTAATCGGCTTCGCATTTGTTCTGTAGTGTGACTTATGCTTTTTAGTTGTGCAGAGTACGATAGTTTTCCAAGATTTAAAGAGAAGCGTGATGAAAAAGCGCCTGTCGATCCGCATACGAGAACAAAAAATTGCGAGAAGCCGTACACCGAGTATGTATATTCAAATTTTGTGCGTCAGTGCCTTATAGTTGGCAGCCATTCAGGGTCGGAGAAGCATACTGCAAAGGGAAGTTGGGGGGTTTAGGGACGTGATATTACTGATATTATTTGTCGGTGAGGCCAAAGCTTCAAATACAAATATCTTGAACACGGGATGGCGGAAGAAGATCCAGACAAATGAACAGTGGAGGATAGTGACGCGGCGTATCCGTCGGTAGGTATCCTCGATTAGAAGCATTATTATTGTTCAATATATATTTACTTGAAAGATCCTCGTATAACTTTCGGGAAGCAGTTTAATAGATGGCTCCATCTATTGTTGGAATTTTAACCACGTAATTTTACCGCGCAGCGACTGTCGATTATCATACATTTTTCCTTCCTTTCTGTCGAGAACCGTATTGGTTTACACTTTATTCACCAACAACTGAGGCGTTAGTTGAGAACGCATGGAATTTGAATTGCCATCATCCATATGTAGTAATCTCTGGCGATTGAATTCATTAATTTGGAGATTCCGGAAATATTGTTAGTGAAAGGAAAATGTGTATATAGGTTGCTCAAGAATTCATATGATGCTTCAAAATGCGAAGTTTTACTTTTAAATAGAAACTTCGTTTTTCTGTCCAGTACTTAATAGATTGACATTTCAAGCGAAGGGTGGTTTCCAATTACCCCTGCACCTAAAATAGACAAATCTTGTAGAAAAACAATCAAAAAGGTTGCAGTCGTCAGATTTTTAATTTTTAGTCGACATTTCTCTATAAAAAAACAATTGCTATTGTGTTAGAAATAAAAATACAAGCAAAAATCAAAGTATTAACAACATCCACATGCGGATGCTGTAGGTGCGCCCAGCTGATTCAGCCAATATGAAAACTTATTTTATTATACGCATCCAGTGCTATTTACGGCAAAAATACGAAGTGCGTAATGGTCTACTTATATTTGTATTATACAGAGTGGCAATTTGAAAACCTACCACCCCCCTTGTCTTAGTAAATAAACCGAGATATTTAAAAAAATCAAAATCCGTTTCGGTAATTCGGAGGGGGAATCACATTGACATAGTTGGCGACACACCCCCTCCAACCATCTGCACCCCAGCCACCCCAACTTTTAAATCTTAAATAGTGACACCCCATGTGTGATACGTCGTTGGAAAGCTCTGAAAAAATGCTTTCTAACCCACCGGCGAACATAGACGAACTAAAACAGGGAATAATTCAAGAATGTCGAAATATTGCAAAACCAACATTTGAAAAGGTTCGACAAGAGTTTGACAATAGATAATACTACTGTCTTACCAATAACGGAAACCATTTTGAACATATTGAATTAAAAGCCAACTTTAGAAAATGTATCATATTAGTTTATTTTTTGATTTGCATGATAATTGCTAACCTAAATGTAATGCTATATTTGGAATGGTTGGAAAGCATTTTTAGAGCTTTTCAACGACGACCCAATTTGGTCGAAATCAGAATTTTTTTCGCACCCCTAAATAGGAGTGCGCCTTTTCGTGGTAGGAATTTTGAAAAAAAAATTTAAAATCGGATAAGGCATACCCGAAACCCTATTCAAAGACGTGCTACCCATCTTTGTAACTCTTATGGTTGCTGAGAAAAAAATTAAAGAAGAAATTCTTATTGATCTAAGGGCCAAACAATGCACAGATACCTAAGCTATTTCAAATCGCATTATTTTTTATTAATCCTGTTTATTGGATTAATAAAATATACATTATACCGTGTCAGTGGAAGCGGACACTTATTTTTTAAACATACCCTTGCATATAAACTCGAGATTTTGAGCTTGATAGTTCATCCTAAAAAACCCATAAAGAGCGTATAAAAAAGCGGCAGAGCACCTCGGTGTGACCCCACGGAGTCATTGGACTTGATCCATTTTCAATAGGCTTGTCACTTGTGACATACAGCCATAGGTCAACTGTGCAAGTTTGAACCAAATCGGTCCAAGCGTTTGACAGTTATCGTGTTCACGGACAGATGGACAGACGGGCACCTTCGAGTCGCCTATACATAAAGCTTGCATCGCTTTACTCTGCCGCTTAATAAATAACACGTAGGTAAGTATAATTTTAATACGTTTTTGTCGTTTTGCTTTTTTTTTAGAGAGAAACATGTCAACAAGATCTAATTACAGATGTCCGCTCGGGTGCGAAATTGCCTTTTTGGAACAAGTGGGTTACCTCCGGATCTGTATCATTTTGTTTACGCTTTTTCTGATATTCAATACAAATAAAGTGAAATCGCGGATTTTTTAGCAGTAACAAAAACGGTAATTTCAAGTTGGCGTGATAATCATTGAGCATTAAAGTAAAAGTGCCTTTAGGATACCTTACTTTTAACAATTTTTAAATTACTATTTTCTCTTTCACAACTTAAATGCCTCCATTTATTTCTACGGTATATTTAATTTTTACAAAATGTTCATTATTCTTGGTGACACTGATAGCTATAAACCATGAACTTGTCAATCACATCAACACGTGCGCCTAACTAAAGAAAAAGTGATGCGATTAGACGATTTTTACAAACGTTTGCAATAATCTACACGAAGATCGATTAGGTAAAGCGAGTGTACTTTCAATTCGCAACTTCTTCGATCTACAAACGCATGGTCTATTTAATTTCTTTCAAATCACTACCGTGAAAATTCTACTTTTGTATTTTCTTGCTTAAATATGCAGATTATCTCGCCAATTTACAAAATTCTATTAGAAAGTACTCAAGTTTGAAAAATTGCATGGCCTTTATTAACTGAAAATTAAGGAACGACTTGGAGAAAGGCTTTGCGGAGTGGGCATAATTTCCTTGTCGCATCCTTAGCGAGGAGCTGAGGCTTCTTTCAGGATTTGATGGTATGGAAGTGGGTGGGAATATAAAAATGTGTAACATATATTTATGAGGTTTAGAGTACGAACGGTTCAGTAAAAGATTACAATTCCGCAACATGCATTATAGTGTACTGTTACTCGTTTTTGTGACAAATACGGTTTCTGCCTATTACAATAATCACGCGACAACTAAAAGTTACGAATTGGAAGTGCCAGGTTCAAACCCTATTAGAATAATCGAAACCGACCCCTTATGGAATCGACACAGCAGCGAAAGATATGTGCAGACATTTCCTGAACCTTGGACAGACGTAGAGCATCGGTCGGTAAAAACACATAAGCGCCCTAGTCAATTAAAAAATGAAGATCTGATGGGTGAAGATTTATCAAAGGAAACGTCTAAGGAGTTAAATCAGTTTTTAAAAAACTACGCGGAGAAACTAAAACGTACACGACCTATACCGAGTGCTGAACAGAACTTTGTGAGTGATGAACGTTTAGATAAAATTGAACTTGTGACGAAACCGGAAGAAATACCTACCAGTCGACTTGCGAATCTTCTGCTTGTTGATAAGAACGAAAACGTCAGTGAAGTAAAACCCTTTAGTCCCGCTCGTGATAAAAAACACCGTCCAACCGACGAGAAAAAAGGATGGGTGTCCTTAGATGTTGTGCCCTGGTCTGTGTCCAAAGTTGCAAAGTGGCACAGTTCTGTTATGATGCAGGAAGATGCACCTCAAATAACTACTCAACCCAACTGGCATCATCTCCTAAATAAACAAACCGTGTCCTATAATCAACCGTTGTCAATCTATAAAGCCAAGCCATTCGTGTACGACTCCGATCTGACGTCACACTCCAAACCCGACCCCCAAGACGTCATGCCTTCGGAATACCAAATGAGTCCGGAAGGTGCACTGGTTTCCCCAATGGCTGTTGACGAAAAGTTCTACCTTAAGGATTACATTGATAGCATCAAGCCACCATGGAAAAATAAGTACCATATCACCTACGGACATCACGGTAATAAAGATCACGACTGCGAGCATGGACAATCTCCCATTATAACAGACGGCTTACCCCCCAACTTCCCGACGTACACCACCAATGTGAATCGACGAAAAGGAATAGCTGTCGATGACGAACACCCACTTACCCACCCCTTCAACGGCGCGGGCGAATGGGTTCTAGTGACCACAACGAAAGGATACAAACCATCCCACGACAGACAACGATCTTTAGACATCGAAGCTATTCCAGAGCACGAAGGCGAATCCATCAATACGCACAAGTCGGTGAGATTAACAGTGCTTCCGCCTTTAAACAATTCGCGAATAAACATGACCACCTCACATGGCGGTCTACTTCAAGTCGAATCGACTTTCGAAACAGTTGACGAAGCTCAACGGATGGCGGCAAAGAAAGAAAACATCAAAAAGGGCCAGATTAAGAAGAAACCACTTAGGAAACCACCACGTCTCGACGTCATCCCCAGCGTTAACGTCGTTTCTACTCCTCCACCCGCAGTAGTAAACAAGCCGAAAGTACCTTCCCCATCATCAGTCTTAGCGGCAGTCGGGGCGGGAATGATCCCCGCAACAATGGCCATGCTAGTGCCGATGGCGATAGGACGCAGACGAAAACGAGACGTTCTCTTCCAAAGAAAACACATTCCATTACACTATTTATGAATACTTTATTTATATACAGTCTTAGGCACAAATTAAAAATAATAAATTATTAAATAACCATTACAACCTTCCCTAAGCTTTACAACGTACGCCAAAGAATACGCCAATGTCCTCATTTGTTTATTCTCTGGAGTACATTTGCTATTTCGGTGTTAGAATTCCACAAGCTACTGAGCCCTTGGCTGCTCCTTACTCTTCTCATTAAATCGACTGTGAACATCGGAAAAGTATTTTGCAACCGCCTGCGAGGTTTTTTGCAAAAATTCCAAGCCGAGTTTTATTTGTGCTTCGAATAAAAGTCTTAAAGTGTGCAAGAAGTTTTGGGGTTTACTGGGAACCGTGGTCGCAAACGTTGTGGATTCGGGTCTTCCACGTCTGATATCTTCATCGTGGTCAAAAATTTCGTTATCAAAGTCACTGTTTCTCCGTTTTCGAGAGTGAACCCTCCCCTCGATGTCACTTGCCGTTGTCGACTTGGGTAAGTGTCGAGGTCCGTGTTCGGGTACGACGACCGGTGTCACTTCCGAGTGCGATTTAGTCTTCTCCGTGACAAAGTCTTTATGCATGAATTGTGAGTTGTACACGTCGGGTTCGTTTCTACGATTGGCGAAATAAAGCTGTTCGTCGTATTTTTTCGAAGGTGTCAAGTAAATGGCCTCGACCGATGCCTCAGACTGTCCGCGCCGAAGGCCGAAATCGTTCGATTTGCGATTCGTGGTTTGCTGTCCACCTTTGAAGGTGTTTCGATAGTTTTGCGATTCGTAGGTTGTTGGCATTCCGGCTATCACCTTACCGATAGCTTCTTCTTCGGTGATACCTCCAGGAGTATACTCGTCGTTGTAGTAATACGAACCCTTATTGTCTTTTCGGTCAACTTGGTACGATCTCCTCACCGGGGTGAATGGGTAAAGGAAGTAACTGGCGAGTCCTGCTGTCACCATTAGACCAACAAGGCCAACTCCAACAGTTGGCATAATTTCTCTGGACAGGTAATTGTAGATTTGCGTGCCAATTGGTTTGTCTTTTGGTGCTAGCTTTGTGCTGTTGGAGAGTGATAATTTCTCTGCGGCTGCAGGACGACGGCGTCTCGTTTTGTTCTTCTTCTTCTTGGTAGTATTTGAGGGTCTTCTATTTTTCTTAGAGGGAGGTGTTAGAAGGAGTTCAACCTCGTCGTCTTTTGGTTCAAGAGAAAACAACGAATTGTCGCTTGGCGTTGTACTTGGTGTTGGTAACTTGGTCGTTGATAACGAAGAGTTCTCATTCTCCTGCACTTTTTTGTTAATGGTCTTATTTTTATTATTTATTGCTTCATTTAAGATAGACGCTTTGATTTTAGTAATCTTTTGTTCCGTGGTTGATGTGGTTGCCGGCGTGGTTACCGTTGTTGGTTTTTTCGTTGTTGATGGTGCGGGTCGTTTTTTGAACAAGGGCTTTGTTATCTTGTTAAAAATCTCTGTTCTAGTTAAATTTTTGTTGTCTTCAAATTTTTGCTTTACAGTAGGTTTTGGTGTAGACTTTGGTGTGGATGTAATCGATGGGGAGACGGTTTGGCTGTTCAACAAGACCCATGTAGACAAACCGTGTTCGGTAGTGGGTTTGTTTTCAATTTTGTAGAAATTTAATTTCTTTGTATTTTCCTCCCACGTTGAATCTATATTTGAAACGGGCTCGACAACTCCTGGATGAGAATGCTCGGTGACCGCCGATTCCTTTTTCGGGGGTTTCTTAATCTGCTGTTTTATTTTTGGCGGAGTTCTGGTATCGTAAGTTAATTCGGACGAGGTGTGATTTATGAGTACTAGCTGATCTGCCAATTGTTTAATGGTCTCTCCGATTTGAGCATTTGATGGCCTAAAACAAATTAAGCAAGTTAGACCACGTAGGTACTGTTCATATTGTATTTTGTTTTATTAATTGGTATATTCTGACCCTGTCTCTTCACTTACTAACATCTGACCTTTCCGGGTAAACATAACATTGTTGATGCAATAGTCTTTTAGATTCTTATCCGTCGAATATAGGTACTTATCGGAATATGAAAAGACCGACCTTTGAGTTATGGGTTTTGAGAATACATTATAATTTTTTTGCATATATTTTACAAAGTGGTTGTTGTAAAAATTTTGTTTACCGGCTCAGCTACTCGTACCTGAATCTTTTACTGGTTCTCCACTATAATTACTCCACTGTAATTAGGTGACTAAAGGTGACACCAATTAGAGTGCAATTAAAATGTATCGTTATACATTACTCTCGTCTCGATGAAGTATTTGTTAATATTACAGATAAAAAATGATCTGTGCTAATATGTAAATTAATTGTCCGCAAAGATTATGCAGATGAACCATACCTTTGAAATCAAGACAGAGTCAGGTTGCTTCATCGATCTAGTTAATTATGAATGAATGATGACTGGAACTATTAATAGCTAATCGCATTATTACTCTACTGGTCTAAATGACTGGTATAGGCAGTTGTAGTAGGTGACCTACTGAACAAACTAGTTTTTATAAGCAAAAATGTCATGAGAGGTCAGTATTGAACTCCCAACTAATCGTATAGGTGAAAGAGTCGATAGGTAATTGAAATTTATTGTCCCAATAAATAACGGAACGAAGATTCCATCATAAAGGTATTCTGCTTAGCCAGAAGACATAAAACAGCGTAAACTGTAATAAAAATGAAAGTTATCAGATCACCTTTAGTGAAAAGGTCTGTGCTACAAAACAGGGCCCAAGGCTATAACGACTACAATTATGATTTAATCATTACCAAATCCTATGAGTATTAAATGGTGCAGTGTATTAGCTACATGGCGAAAAACAATTTTTCTGAACACCTTCAATTACATGTTATGACGCTACTGACATTTTTTTTTAAATTGCTTGATAATTTTTTTGCGGATTCTTGTAGAGAATTTTATGTATTTTTCATCGGTCAAAATTTTTAATAGGGTTACATTACGAAATTTTTGTAAAAATGTAAAAAATATGTTTTCCAGCAAGATGGTGCCCCTGCCCATAACGCCAATATTATGTAGTACAAATTGTTTGAAAAAAATGTTTGAGCAGATGGATAGGTACAAATGGTCCAAGTAAATGGTGTCCTCGTTCTCCAGATTTAAGTCCGTTCAACTGCTTCCTGTGGAGTGAATTCAAAGGGATTGCCTCAAACTCAAACAGTAGGTAAGCTAAAATACCGAATTAGCAAAGCTATTGCAGAGATTCGCGAAAATATGCTGATTCGAGTAGAAACAATAAATACTCATAATCGAGCAACCTTAAAAATACTCAGAGGAATTTGCATTATTAACTAACTAGTACCACAACAATAACAAAGATAGAAGAAATAACTGGTATCGTCGTCGCATACTATTTATTAATTGAATCGATACATATTCGTAAACGTCTACCATACCTTCTTTAATATTTGGTTTCTTAGCTGATCTGCGGTTTGATGCAATGTTGAAAAAACCTTGTCTTTTAATTCACTACCTACAGGAAGAAGTCGAGCGGAGTTAAACCCGCAGAACAAGGGCACTACTTTATTACGACCTACGTTCACACACAAAAATATTTTGTTTTACATTTTTACTCGCACAATTATTGCTGTTTTTTTAAATTATTTGAAAAATGCGTTTTTCAAAAGATGCGTTTGGTGAATATGATTTACTACTTAATTACTTTAAATTATTTATTACAGAACTGACTGAATATTTCGATGGAGCCGCTTCACATTGTCTGTCTGTCTATCTTTCTGTTTTATAACTTATTTAGTGTATTTTATCGTAATAAATTAATTTTTGTGTATACATCGACCTTGTTTTAACAAAGGATAATAAGCCTACAGCAAACATTTTTGGTTCTTTCGAAAACCATTTAACAGGAATGGGACATACTATTAATAATTAATAACTTTCATTTAAAATATTTAAAAAATATAGGGTGGTTGACTTACAGTACAGCTGAACGTGTGGAAATAATATTCATTTATGGCTCCGAATACGATCATCTTTTAGAACAGCTAGAAAGTGTTATGAGAGATATCCCGGGAGAAATGTAAGCCATGCCTATATGTTCAAGATTTGGTCAGTAGCTTTCCAACGATGTGTCACAAGCATGGAGTTGCCATTTAGGATTTTTGAAGAAGGGGGCTGGGGGGGTGGGGGGTTGTCACTCATAACGTCATTCTGGTTCCCCCTCGATACCCCCGAAACGGTTTTGCGCGATTTTCAATATCTTCTTTAGTTTGGAAAATATGGCCGACTGCAAGTTTTAAAATTGACACCCCGTATACTCTTTGGTCCAACTTATCCCCATCAAATTGAGCATAGCCACAGGCCACAGCTGCATCACTAGTACCACATCTCTTCAATATACCTACGTGTTCAAGTTCAGGTAATAGAAATTCCAGTGCCATGCCTTTATAGCAGTTACTACTATAACAGTTAAGACATTTGCCGTCGAATTTTTATAACAGTTGAGGAGGACCAAACGATGCCAACCACACAGAATATTTTAATTAATGTAGATAACAAAATACCTTGCTGTGATACCACGTATAATTTTATTATGAGTAATTCTTTTATATTTATCAGAAAGATAGTGCTATAGATGGTTAGTCTTCGATTTAATAGTTATTTATGTATGAAGGGCATAATAGTGATGTTTATATTCTCGAGGGCGACGAGTTAGTTTTTAGTCGCCCGAGAGTATCAACATCAGTTTATGCCCGTGGTACATACACAATTGTATGTCTTACAAATAGTTTTCTTCGTCAAAGTAAATATTCGTTTACAAAATAATTCGTTATGTTTGATCAAGTATGTGTAGTTCGAATTTGTTAATGTGATTGAAACCATCCAAACGTCAAACGTAATTTTAAATAATTCAATTTATCCTGAATGAGGAAGAAGTTTCAGAAACTATTCGAAATACGGCAAATTTTGTGAGTTAATAAGTATTGACATTTAATAATTGACGTTTATAATTTTCAATTACCTGCAAATATTTGTTTGTTTTGTCATTAAGTATAAATGAGTTACTATGGTGATCCTTAATGCCCTAGGGCATAAAGTGGTACTTTATGCCCGCGTATCACAGATATAAAATATGCTATGATATGTTAGTAAGACATAAAATGAATTTCTGTCATTAATAGACGAATATGCGAAATTATCGCTCTTGTTTAAATTGATAAGACATTCCAATATGATAAAGGTGATGGTGTTTTTTTTTAATAGAATTTTTGTATCTCTAGAAATTATTTGTTAGGTTTTATTTTCGTGTTTTTTAAGTAAATGGGTTTAGATAAGAAAATAATCTTTGTTTATGTGAAGTGTCTGTACTGAAATTTGCATCGTTAAAAAATGCACTACTTAAACAATCGCACGTAGGGATGCAGGAATCGATTTTAATTGGTAAATTAGCACACCATTTTGAAAAGAAAATAAGGTTGAAAGTAATTAAAGAGGATATTGTTAGAATTTGAACTTGTTGATTAACCTTTGAAAATAACTGAGATATCACCGAAAAACTGAAAACGTCAAATAGCATTTTCCTTAGCTTAAACGTTCGGAAATGGACGGTTCCCGTTAGCACCTTTTATGGGCATTTTTTTTCGGAGAATCTGAGTCTGTTATCAGCAATTGGACGTTATTTCGGCGTAAGTGAGGAGCGCAACTTAGAAGCTGATGTTGATTGTGAGTGGCGGTTGATTTAAAAGATTTTTAAAAGAAAATTATCTTATGGTGGAAGTGGTGATTCTTTAAATACCGGAATCAACAAGAGATCTATCTATCTCTCAGTTTAAAGAGCGTGTAAATTTGTTTACGTTAAATTTCTGGCATTCAGCCGTAGTTGTTTTGTTGAAGTCGGTTTCGAAAGAAAGTGTGCAGAATGAATGATTTAAGTTATCGTCTAGTGAAGCAGCGAAAGTTTGTAGCAAATTTTAAAAACTGTTTTTTCCGTCTTTAGAAAACGTTACTAAGCGTGGAAGTCCCTTAGAAGTTACTACCGGCGGGCAGCAACCGAAAATTTTTTTCATCTTAACTTATCAAGCTAGTTCGAGTCATTGATTTCAGGTTATTAAAGAAGAAGTGAGGCTGCCAGCGAGTGTCTGTGTGTTTGATAAGTGCACTTGAATATCGCAAACCTTTCACGACCAGATTATTTAGATTCTTAAAAAAACTGTATGTACCTACGTTAAGATTTTTTTAAATTTTTAATTATTGACTGCCTGCGTGCGAGGTATTATGCAGGAAATAAACAACTCAATTCCTCAAAACCTTCCCCATGGATATTTAATTGTTGACGAACAATTAAATATCCATGGGGAAGGTTTTGAGGAATTGAGTTGTTTATTTCCTGTATGGTTCATCGCCCCATTTAGAGTATGGATCAAACGCGAGTTTTTCGGGGTATTATATCCAAACAAGCTTTGTAAGCTGCTCATTCTTTCGGGGATTTTGTTTTAATTATTGTCTCATGTGTTTCGAAATGTGTTTAATGAATCCCTTGTGCGACCCGGATAGAGTTTTCATGTCAGTATTTTCTATTTGTGCCCAGGATTTATTTCAAGCGTTACTCAGTTGCGTAATAGATTTCTTAGAATTTTTGGAGGTTAATCGAGACCATCAAGTCTCTCTACTTTTAAATTTAAATTTTAAGTCAATAATATTAGGATTGTTTCTTCTAGCCGATGTCGGATGTGTATGAGAAGAGATTAGACAATTTTAAGTTTGGGGGACCAATTTAGTGTGTGGATGGATCATTTGAGATAACAAACATTCCTTCATTCTGAAAATGTCAAAGTCAATTTTGGCATTTGTTTATTTTTTACGGCCTACTATAGCCACTTACCAAATTAGTAAAAAAATACGAAATTAAAAGAAAACTACCAAGGATAGATACCGATAACTTTATATCGTTCGAAAGCTGATGAAATTGCGCATTAAACAAAAAGTGCGGGATTGCATTTGAAAAAAGTTATCTATTAATGAAATTTTCGCAATTGACAAATCGAATTTTCAAAATGTAAAAAGAATACCACTCTGCCCTCCCGTCCTACATTGGTACATTTTATGGTAAGTCATTCCACAAAGTCACAATGTTTGACAACCACTGCGATATTCAATTCATTTTTTTCAGACACACGCTTTTTTTTTAAATATCAATTTGCGGCTAAACCGTTCGGTTTAGATAGGAAATGTGACACCTAGAATTACCCGAAGAATCCATATGTATAATAATATACAAGGGGTTTCATTAAATAAATGTAACTGTCATATGACTCACCTTTTATATGAATTTCGATCGAAGTGAAAACATTTTAGGTTTCTAGCCTTAATGGTTCCACACCATTTCCAAGCAGCGAACTTTAAAAATGTAGGTACGTTAATAAACTCACAAAGATCCGTCCACACACTACGACAACCCCGTATATGTATAGAGTAGTCAATCAAAGGGTGCTAAACAAATGGTACCTACTCAGTAACCCAGCCGAGCAAATTTTCCATATCCACACCATTTACTTGCTGTTTAAATAGCCGGTTAAAATGAAAAGAAACACAAAATCACAAGTCCTGTGATTTTGTTAGAGCTTTTCATTGAAAGTGGTAGCACTTGATCACATTTTTGGCAGATAGATACCTTACTGAATGTAGGCACCCAACGGGAATAATTGAAGGGCGACCACGACCATGGCAAACAATTCACAAATCACACGTGGCGTCAGCTGTAGGTATGGCGCGTAGCACCATCCTGGTGGAGTCATTCTCTCCAATACATTATTGTTCCCATGTTTTGGTCCGAGAGATTCGAGTAACTTGCAATAACGGTTACGGTCTTAGAGATGGATCTTTGATAATCTACAGTGGTATTTATTAAGAAGTAGACATAGGGATTTGCGTGTTATGTCTACTTTTAAATTAAATGACAAAATTTCTTCTGAAGAAGCCTAATTTTATGCATAACTTCTTAAAACAAATTCAGATCTGGCTGACATATTAAGTATTTTGAATATTATTGTTGGTTGCGCTTCTATACTTTTATTTTCGTTCATGTGCGATGTATTCAACTAAAGGTCAATTGGTATAGCGCCGGAAGAGATTTATTTTCTGTGAAGCCAAAGCAACAATATTCCAATTAATAATACGAAAGCGAGATCTTTATTTGGGACGCATAAAATTAAAGATTTATCGTTTCAAACTAGACAGGGAAAAACAATACGTGTAAATCACTATGTTTACTTCTTAATAAATATCACTGTATATAGATGGAAAAAATTACCTACCACTCGTAACACAAACAACACATTCGTAAAACAAAACTATTATAGGCAATAAACAATAAACGTCCTGATGGAATGACCCTTGTGCCTTGGACCAAAGGACAAATGCTAGTTTGGGATGCCACATGCACTGACACTCTAGCACCATCCCATGTTAATTTATCAAGTAAAACGGGTGGTGCAGTAGCTGAATCTGCGGCAGGTATAAAAATAAGGAAATATTGTTCAATTATAGAACAGAACCATATTTTTATACCTTTCGCAGTAGAGACTTTGGGACCTTGGTGCAGAGAGGCTCGTAATTTTGTGGAGTGTTTAGGAAAACGTATTGCCAGTATTACTGGAGAACCTCGAGCTACTAGTTATTTAAGACAAAAAATCAGTATTGCTATACAACGTAGCAATGCGGCAAGTGTAATGGGGACGCTTCCAACTGCGATCCCCATGGAAGAAATTTATTATTTGTTATGAATATTTAAAAATTTTTAACTTTGTAATTAAAATAACAAAGTAAAAATTTAGGTACCTACAAAGTAGAAAAACCAACTGGTAGAACACCAAAGTTCTAGAAAAAATTCGTACTTTTATAATAGAATCATGTTGAGTGTGGTGATCAAGAATATCGGTACATTTTTTACATATTACAAAACGAACAATAGTACATCCAACGTAACTAAGTAAACAACATGTAAAATATCATTTTTATTTATTTCATAAATACAAGTGTGTACAACTATATACAGCTTACATATAAATAAATACCTAAAATACTCTATACATTACAATAGCAATTTATAAAGCAGTCATTGTTTAAACTAGTTGTTCCATGAGATTTCGGATGCAAATTTGCAAAACATGAACACGGTCTACTGTGTAAAGTACCAGCCTATATTGCTATTGAAATGTATTTTAGATTTGCACCAAAAAGAAATTTAATATGTAAAGTGAACTTTTCAATGTGGGGCGAGGTTGTTTTATTGTATCTTTCTTCTACATACACAAAAAAGGAATGAGCCGCTTTTGGGTGAAGGATTCGCATCACCACTCAATCCGCAAACCTTTGGATTACCTACCCTTCACTTAGTCTGCAAGGGAACGTCAATGACAAATTATGACAGTTATTATTGTGGCAGTATAAAAGGACGACCTGAAATTAAAACGCTTGATGCCATCGAGCAGTTTTGACAACTATGAGAGATGACAAGATTTATCACACTTCGCGTCTCGTTTCATTCGTTCTGTTGATACACTTTGGAAAGGTTCGAACAAGCAAGACCCTTGGCACAAAAGCAACAGTTCTTGGTCGCTCTGATTTTTTTCAAAGGTCATCATCATAGTACCTACTACGTGAAAAGGTTAAAATCCAAATCGGAACGCGCATACGCACGCTGTTCAACATTCACCCACGTCTGCGTCCCCGAATTCCAAAACCACCCATCGTGATGGTGAATAGGCTTATGAACGTGTTTATGGTAAACGATTTCGGTTTTTGGACGTGATGGCTCTTTACTTTTACCAAAAAGAAACAGAAGTGGTAGCCACCAAGGATACAAGGGAAGAATACTAATGAAGCCAATTATAAAACTTACAAGTGGAACAATGTAAACAAGCGGACTTAGCGCCTTTAAAACTTCCCTCAGGAAGCCTAGACCTGGTCCTAAAAATTTTAAAAATTCCAAAATTTGCTTCAAATCTGGGAGCTTGGGCAATTTGGGCAATTCAGGTAAACTGGGCAAGCCGCCGCTCAACGGGCCGCCACCACCGCTACTGCCGGCGCTACCTCCGCCAACCGCCGATCCGATAGGATCAGCCGCGGCAGCTTCCAAGGGCGCGGCCGCTGCCAATGTCGGCGGAGGCACAACGGCATTCGGTGTACCACCGGAGCTAGCTGTTTCGAGTATTTCGTCTGATGGCGATGATGGTAACCTTTGGGGTATTTGATTTTGATGAATATGCGTATTTATTGCGATGTTTAAATCGGAACAGCCCTGTTTACTTTCTGGTCCAAGGACGGAATTCGTTAAATGAACGGTGGGACAATTGCTGTCGTACTTTTCCCCGGCGCCGTTTCCATTAACGTTAAATACGGATTGAGTGAGCATATTTCCCGGATCACTCGGAAGAATAACTATAGAATCGTCTTCATCAAAAGAAGGAATCGTTCCTACGGGGTATTCGGGTGAGTAACTCGATACTACGGGATTTGGGTTTGGTATTGGAATATTGTGAACACTCCAATCCTCTTTGGAATGATTCTCCGACAATTTACTGGCACTTATTTTAAAAACTGACGGCTGTTTTCTATTAAACTGCGAAGTAGTTTGATTGCGTCGTGAGTTACCAATCTTCTTATTTTTTTCGATAACTAGTTTTACGGGTTGTTTATTTTTTTGGGATATTTTTGGTTTAGTTGTGACCTTCTTTATTTTAAGGGTCTTATTTGGAAATCTTAAATCCTCTACATTGTTTTTAATAAATGAATGAATTAATTCCGTGTCATTTTTGGTTTTCTTTGACTTGATATTAAAGTTTTGGGGGACAAGGGAGGTTTTTTGGCCAGTAGTGTTAAATTTAGGGCTGCCGAGTATAGTGTAAGTTTTATTGTAGCCGTTGTAGGAGTTGTACCTGCGAGTTGTTAGTTCCGGTGTTGGAATTGGAGTCGCACAGCTGGTTGATAATAAAAACATTGTCCACACTGCAATGAAATCCATCACTAGCACCTGTAACAAAAAAAAACTTTTTAAGTTCCTCTAGTAAGTATCGTAAATTGTTGTTGATCGTGTTCCAAATTGTTACTCAAAGATTATAGACGACCTTATTTGAATCTTTACGTGTAAATGTTCACATTCAATTCAAAATAAAGTTCATCTGTAATATAATTGCATTGTGATATTTTAAAGTTTATCGCCGCTCATTGCGATCAGAGTTTTTTTTATCGCTATTTAAAGTTAATTAAGTTTGAAGATACGCAGAAGTGGAGGCGGAAGGAGTAGAATGAAAAAGTTGTTAAATAGAAGAGACGGACGTGGAACGGAGATTCTTGTTTTGGTGGTGGACGTTAATCGTTTCCTTTTGTGGCGCTTTTAATGTATGGCAGTATGCTGTAATCGAGTTTGATTTTGAAAGACAGTCAGTCTTGTTTAATTGAAAAGTTGAAGTAGAGTGCTTTAAGAAATTTTATTAATGCGCCGTTATAAAAGTGAATGTTAATTCGAGTAGAGTCTGAAAAGTTTGTTTACGTTTAGTCGGAGTGTGTGTCTATCGTGCGTTTATCGCTTATGTACAGCGTTTCTTTAAGGTTTCCCTGTATTCGTTAAAGAGAGTTTTGCCACCATCAAAAAGCCAATATTACATCTGTAGTTCAAAAATCAAAGTCAGCGTCGTCGAAATTGATATTCAAGTGCAATCAAAGAAGTGAAGTTCCGAAGTATTACAGTTCAGTGTTCGTGTGTTTGTACGTATGCTTAAACAAAATAGCAGTCATGGCTGGATTTATCAACATTTTAAGGTAATTAAGATTTCTCTTAATTCATTTTTTCAATTGATCGCATGTGCGTGGTATTTGTCCTTTTGACTCTGAGCGCCATTCTTTATTTTAGCTTTGTTATTGATTGATTTATGTCGAATAAATTTGTTTCATCTGTAAATGATTAGATATTGTGTTTAATCGAACCCAGTTTACGACCTAGATAAAAGTTCTCATACCAAATTCTCTGTTGGTACCCATAGTTATGCCAGTTGTTTGAATAATCATTTTCAATTCATCTCTTTGGCTACCGATGTCTCAAATTAATTAATAATTAAGGTCATTATAGACCGATGTGTCTAATAACGGCCGCGACTGAATCTTGTAGACCGAGGTGTAGCTTAGATGTTAAATTTATTTCTGATTTGTGTGTGGTTCAATTGCGGTTGAAGGGTCTTTTAAACCAAAGCCAACCATAATTAAAAATGTATGTAACTAGTTTAAATTGACCTTATTTAGAGGTAAGGGGGAGGAGGGGGGCTAATTTAGCTCAGATTTGAAGAAAATAACTAACAACTATGCATTCTATAGATTAAAAAATCGGATGTTGTATAAAACCGAAAACATTTTAGCTAAACATTGAGTGCCTCTCACAGCTATTGGATCGGTCCTCACAGGGTATTTCCAATCCTGCTAGAAGTTCTCATGAACCATTTGTGACAATTATCTAGAAAAGTAAGGGGAAGAATACAAAGAGACATCTTCCGTTAGGGATGTGGAATACGCAAGAATGGATAAACAAAAGTACAGAAATAATGCACTTAGACAGTCTAGCGAAATCAAGGGAAATTGTGTGGAACAAGTTGTGAACAACATTTACATGTGGAGTGGCAAAGGGCAAAATTAGAAATTGGCATGCTTAGGCACATTTAAAGAAAAAAGTCTAAGAGTGCCTTCAAACCATGGGAATCGCCAATAAACGAGAGAATCCTATAAGCAAAGTTGGCGTTGATGCAAAAGCACAATATCTAAATACTTTACAAGATAAAATTGGGAAAACAAACCCTGGAGAAGAACTAATAGCCGAAGATCTTAACGGAAGAACAGGGAAAAGAGAAAACAATAAAAACCTTCCTCCGATACTCCATTCTTGAGATAAACCTCTCGCCAGGAAAGATTGCCGGTCACAGAACACTTGATCCCGGTCTACAATCTATGTTTTTCTATAAAGATGTGAGCGACTTCCGGGATAGTATCATGTCAATGTTGAACAAAAAGACTTTTCGTTTAACATTGGCACGATCCTATTCCGGAAGTCGCTCGCATCTTAAGAAAAACTTCGATTGTAGATTGACACAAGGTGTGCTGTGACCGGTAATCTTTCCTGGCGAGAGTTATATTTACTATTAAGTTTTCACATCCACAGCAGTGTGTCTCGTGTAGACGATGTTTCCGCCGTTTGAGATTACCCTCCTCCGACATTCCATTCTGCAAATATTTTCACTGAAAGTTTTGAGATCGCCAGTGAATATGTCTCGTCCTGACGTTACACTTGCTCTTTACGAATACCTTCTTCCGACACTTCGTTTTCAAGATATTCGCTTCGACTTCACCAATAGATATGTCTCGTCCAGACGATTTATTTTGCCTTTGTGAATACCGTTTTCAAGATACTCGCTGTTAGAATTTTGGCATCACCAGTGGATATATTTGTTGCAGACGTCCCTATCCCACCCTCCTCCAATGAGACTAATCTGAGAAATAAAGCTAATTTCTCATCGGGAGGAATGGATTTCCGCGTAACCGTATCTTTTTTTCGAAGAAAATTTCCACTCTGCAGCGTTTCAAAAACGCATCGTGAGAGGGAGCAATCTTACATAATATAAAATACAAATGAAAGTGGTGCACAAATCGAAAAATCAAAGCATGGGTCCGCCAGTGACGTCACTACACGCGGCGAAAAAATTCAGTGATCGAGCAATCCTGTATTATATAGCATCCTTTTTTAAAATTTAGATTTACTAAATTTTGGAATGATCCATCCTATAATGGAGACACCCTGTACGTAAAATTACGCCATCCTAGATCCTAAATAAATGCAACTTTAAATACATCATTCAAATTGAAAAAGAACTTGCTTTTCAAACCTTCAACTTGCATCATCTAATGGAGGAAAAACGGCTACAATACCGTGATAACATTTCTCTAGTATTGTAAAAAAAAAACTATGCCTATGAACGCCACCTCCATCCATACCCAGCAAAGAGTCGCTGGCCTTGAATAGGGCCTCTGCACGATCATGTAAAAGGTTTGAAAACAAGAATTTGGGGGTGAAACTGCACATTCCTTATTATGCAAGTCTTTGGGTCAGGCGTTCTTTACAACCCTACGTCGTTTATAAATCCGTACATTTGTATCCCATATGAGTGGAAGTGAAACCGATGTCAGGTGGTTCGATGCCTCTGCTTCCCCATTTTAAAAAATTGCCTGGCGCTGTAGTGCATCAAAAAAAGGGACTTTTCGGGACACTCGCATAAAATTAGCGCTGAAGAAAATACTCGAAAGGAAAATTTGTTTCCGGGTCAATTTTTCTTTTTACTCTCTCCAAAACTCTCCTCTAGATTGATCCCTATCTATATTTTTGAATTACAAAACATCCACAAAATTGGCACCGAGCAATTAGATTATTCATAATTGATCACGAATTAATCCCATTCGTTTCTACCCCATGAATTACCAGGGTCTTACGTTTAATTTTGCAAGTTCGCATTTTCTAGGCTTGCCGTGAAATCACGCCTACGTAACTCTACATCCACAAGTTCGGTTACGGAAAAAATTATCGCCAATATTTTCAAGAACCTACGAATTTTTAAAATTTAGATTTACTAAATTTTGGAATGATCCATCCTATAATGGAGACACCCTGTACGTAAAATTACGTCATCCTAGATCCTAAATAAATGCAACTTTAAATACATCATTCAAATTGAAAAAGAACTTGCTTTTCAAACCTTCAACTTGCATCATCTAATGGAGGAAAAACGGCTACAATACCGTGATAACATTTCTCTAGTATTGTAAAAAAAAAACTATGCCTATGAACGCCACCTCCATCCATACCCAGCAAAGAGTCGCTGGCCTTGAATAGGGGTAGCAACCTCTCCATCGTAGCACTGACTCTCGAGAAGCGAGACGGTCTGAAGGACCAGTAAAAATCAATATAGTGCTTTCGTTCTAGCATTGCCGGTATGTAATTAGGAATTCCCACTTGTAAACTGTATGGTTCAAGATTTCGTAAAAGTAAGCGGTTCTCAAACTTTGGGTATGTCGCAATTGAATTAGACATCAATCATTCTATGTACATATCATGTATCACAACATTGGCAAATAAAATGTTGATAACCACTGATCTTTAAACTTGTAACAAAAGAAAATCTCATTATATCTCAATGGTTAATGGCCTTGTTTACCTGATAATTGCCCGGGGCGTTCAGAAATGCCCAACATTTAAGGTGAGAATGATTTACATAAGTTAGAAAAGGACAAGATCAATGTAGGGATGAGTATTCAAACATACAGCGCTAACGACATACCGGCAATGCTAGAACGAAAATACTATAGTTTATCCTACGCCCAAATTTCCAAACACTACCGCTAATAGTTTACGGTAGGAGGATCCTCGCCATTCCTAGCGGTAAATTCAAACACAACAAAACAAAAATCTTAAATATGGCGCGACCTAAGGATCCTTACGGAACACGGTTCCAAAGGACAGAAAGATGAAGAACTACAACGTGGCGTATTGATTTGTTTGGGGCCATACCAAAATACGTAGAAAACACGGATTTTACTCCAAAGAAGATATTAAGGGGGATCAGGCGTAGCGGGGTGGCCCTTTGGTTAGTCTACTCGTACGACACGCAGTACCTCTGAGGTAGGGTTCCCCTACAGGGGGGAACATAGAATAAACTAACCAACAAAATATTCCTAAAAATACTACTGAAAAAATCTTTGAATTAAAAGAAACTCTTCCTGATAGTAGGCTCCCGTTACAAATTCTAAGCAATACAATTGGTGTAGAAAAACCTTGCAATGCTCTAACGTGTTCATAAGAATTAAAAATTGTCTGCCCAATAAAAAAATTATCCCTGGTGCACCTCTTGTTAAATGTTTAGGTTGGATTAAAGGGGAAATGTATATCAAAAAAATTCATTCCTATAA